TGGATCTGGTTGAGTCTTGACATGCGTATCATCAACATTCTTCACCTTCATTTTCGACTTCACACTTTCGTCCTTACGTTCTGACCTTCGTTCAACACCTGTAGAAGACCCTTCAACTGCATCACTCCTAGATCCTGACCTCTTACCACCGCCAACCTCTTTCCTCTTCCTAACTGAAGACATTATAATTATAACCCAAAGCTAAAGTCAAAGCGACAAAAACCCAAATCCTGAACCAAATTAAACCAGGAAATAAAATAAAAACAACAAAACAACAACACAGATGCAGATCTACAATCTGCCAATTATCTTACTGTCTGCTTGTACCAATCAGTTACTAAAATATCCCAAAAACCTTCACTCTTTTGAAATATCCAACTACTCATTTGTCTTTAAAGTTCTCAATATTTTAAATTATTTAAAGGCTTCAAAAAAATATTGAACATTTTATATAGACAAAAGAGATGAGATAGATATAAGGAAAGGGAAGGATTCGATTAAGTTTAGGTATTTTTAGTTTAAACTTTTGGTATTACAGGTTAGTGTTGGACTATCATTGCTGTTTGGTTGAGGATTATATCAGCTAATATTTGTTTTGGTGGTATTTGTTTTGTTGTATTGTGTTTTTCTGGGTTATTTGTTGCGTAAAGGACAGGAGTTCTAGTGACTTGAAGGACAAAAATGTTAAGGTCAACTTTGAGTAGTTGGAGGGAGTATCTAACACCAGTTTCGCACAAATCTACATTTTTGAGTAGTGGCCAGATTACTCCAGATGAGTTTGTTCAGGCTGGTGATTATCTTTGCCATATGTTCCCTACTTGGGAATGGAATAAAGCTGGTAACGATGTTCTATTCAGGAATTTTTTGCCTGAGGACAAACAGTTTTTAGTTATGAGGAAAGTTCCTTGTAATGTGAGAGCTAAACAGTTTGTGAATATTGATGACAGTGCTTCTGAAGCGTTTGTTCAAGGGATCAACGACGAAGATGGTTCTATTGAGAACGGCTGGATGATAGGCGGAGGGGAGACTGATCACTTATCGAAACATTCTCTATCTTCTGGTGATGTGACGCCTAGTGGGAATAATACAAAGACTATGGATGAGACTACTCCGGATATTGATGATTTGATGGAAAGTATGGGCATTGAGGATACAGATGATATTATAGATACACCACAGAATACTGATAGAAGGTATTACGATTTATACATCACCTATTCCACTTCTTATAAAGTACCCAAAATGTATATCGTTGGGTTTAATGGTAGTGGTTCCCCTTTGACTCCTGAAGAAATGTTTGAAGATATTGCACCTGATTATAGATCCAAGACTGCTACAATTGAAAAACTGCCATTCTATAAGAATACTATATCTTCAGTTTCGATTCATCCTTGTAAACATGCGAATGTTATGAGGATTTTATTGGATAAAGTATTGGTTGTGAAAAGAAGAAGAAGAGAAGAAATGTCAGAAAATCATAATGAACATAAACCAAATCCAGAAAGTGATGAATGGGAAGACTTACAAAATGATGTAGATGACACTATTAGGGCGGACCAATATTTAATCATATTTTTGAAATTTATAACAAGCGTCACTCCTGGTATAGAACATGATTATACTATGGAAGGGTGGTGATATGATGGAATTGGTCAATTCAAATTAAAATAATATAAAAAGATAGATGTTATTAAGTGTTATTGTATAACAGATTTTTAACCTAGCGATTTATTGTTCCGATGACATTTTGTCTATATGAACCCAAAATTAATAATTAAAAACTATAAGTTGGACAACTGATTAAAATAAAATTCAAATACATTGTTTTTATCATACAATAAAATCATTAAAAAGTAACGATTAGACAATGAGAATATGAGAGTTCTGGGATTATTTGAATTTGTTCATTCGTTGTAATAGTTTCATATGTTATTTTGATTTTTAAAATTAAATTGTTGAAATACATTTTTATATAGTTTATTAAAAACTACTATTTTTGCATATCTTAGTATTCATCACTATTTAAGTACTATAATAACTATAATTCATTTTAATAGCACGACATAATTCATAGAATCAACCAGGAGATGTCGAAACAAGAAATACATATATATACGATCACTAGACGTGAATCTTGTAGGAAATATGTATTCCAAATGAATTTTGATTAAAGAGTCCTTAAAGTATGTAAATAGTTTATCTAAATTGTATGAATGCATTATATATAATATTTTTCATTAAATATTGAATGAACTAGGTAATAGAATATCTCTATACAATGCTAGTTGCATTGCCGATTGGTAAAGATGATAAAGATACCCTGCTGTTAGAGTTATTGTTTCTAATTGTAGTGCTTGGAGATCCGAATGATTTATTTATAAATTTTGTAACTTGTGGAGCAGAGTTGATGGGTACTAAATTTTCTTTATCTTCTTCACTTCCTATTATCCTTTTCCTTGTATCTTGTTCCATTTCCTGATGGACACTATTATTATTTGATAAGCTATTTACACTTAATGTACTACCACAATCACTTCCAGTTTTAAATTGATTAAATGTGTACATTTGAGGAGTAATTGGAGATGATTGCTCAGCACCAGCAGTTGAAAAGAGGCTATTATCAGAGTGCATACTAGTGTTGCGTAATGGAGTGTAACCTTGAGAGGAATATAAAGAAGATGGTGATGAAGTATTATCGAAATAACGACCACCAACTGTAGTAGTTGACATATTGCTTCTTCTTGACAAATCCATTGCAGAAGCTAGTTCTAATTTCTTTTGTAATTCTGCATGATATTCTTTAACTCTATTAATAAATGGTGAAATACCAGAATGATTTTTGTAGATTTCAAGTAAAGAATTTGGAGCTCTGATAATTGCATTAATAAATATATTTAAAAGTTGTGCTTGATCTGATGAAGATGATGGAGGAATCATTAAAAATGGACCTTGTTCATGATTAGTAAATTTATCAAGAACACCGAATATACCTTGACAAACTTCGAACATTTCGAATTTTAATAGAGGATATTGCCAAGCTGTTAGATCAATTAAGAAACGTTTCAAATTTATTAATTGAATCTTCATTTCTAAATCTTCATCTTCTTCTAAATCTTGTTCGTTAGCGGTAGCGTCACTATCAGTCGAACTTTGAGACTGACGTTTTTCTGACCATTCTTTATTGTGCTCTAGTTGTCTTTTATATAATTCATATTGTATCAAACAATTTTCATCGACATTTAGAACATAATCGTTAATCATTGGTTCATAAATATCCCAAGATAAAGTGTCCAATATATGTCTTTCCATTTGAATAAACATTGATTCATCGAAAACATCTGAACCTCCGCAGTAGTGTACTAATTCAGAAAGGCGAGGGATACGAGCTCTTGGATTAGGACCATAAAATCTTCCACCAGTTGGAACTGATACGTTATTGATAATATGGTTACAACCACCCCAAGTTTTAGCGGCTAACCATAAGCAGGTAGCAACTACAAGTTTGGCTTGGTCTTTTAATACCACTCTCTTAGAACAATAACGGTCATATAGTCTTACTGAATGGTAAAAGACACCATCTGTTACTCTTGACATTACTGATAACTCGAATAGGAACGTTACTATAGTGGATCTAGTTTGAAATGGATTCATTTCTGGTTGTTGGTCGATTAATTTTGCATCTGGTTTGAATTTTGAAGATAATTCTAAAGCATTTGCAGAGATATCATGATGATATTCTTGTATTGTCTCATAATGTGATAATAGTTCAGCATTGGATAACTCAATTGGGTAGTAAGTTTGGTTTAGCTTTTACTATTAAGCCTGCAGGAATATTTGATGACATTGTAAAATTTAGGGAATGTTGTTATAATAAAGGATTGGAAAAGCCAGTAATGAATTATGAAATTGCAATTGTAATGAGTGTGAAACTTGATTAAAATTGTGATTAAGCAAAGGAAGATATAATGAATGGATAGCGATATCTAATGCAAAAATTAAAATTTATAAAATAGAATGAGAATGAAATAAATTGAAGAGAATAAATTAGCGAATTAAATGATAGCCCGAATGAAAGAAACCCTTTTGGACAGTGAGAGATATGGCACTTTTAGATTATAATTAAAGTTGTTATTAATAATATTATTATAGATGGTACCAACACTGAATATAGCCGTTCTCCATTAGTGATCTCTAATATGAATAACTACTAATGAATAATAATTGAATCAGGTTTATATATATAAAGAATAGCTAAGGCATCAATTACAGGAATCAGAATATTATGATAAATATATATATATATTTCAGAATAAAATTTCAATAATCTTTTCCAGTATTAAGTTACAACTATCTTGTCTGTCACGAAATTTCAATATATTAAGAGAGAGAGAGTAAGAATTATAACTCTAACTAGTTAAAACAAAAAAAAGAATGAACCAAAAACATAAAACGTATGTGTACAATGAGAAATTGAGTAGAAAGACGACACATGAATAGATTAGATACAATAGCAATTGGTTGATCTAATATCACGAATCCAAAAAGGGTTCTCACTTCAATCTTAACCCAAAGTATAAAAAATAATTCGTAGTCGTTTCAGCAAGTTAGAGACAGTTAGATATTTACTTAGTTGACCTTGAACAAATGCAGAGACGACAACAGGTTAATTCGTGAAGATGCATTAGATAAACGTCCCAGGTATTACGATATTAGTTAACCCAAAATTCGAATACCAATGTATATATGATATCGAAATATTTTAACCGGTTGTAGCAAAGAAACGCCAAAAAGAATACACAAGACTATATGTAAAGGGTAAGAATCGATTGGAATTAAGAAAAAAAAATTCAGGCGTTCTGAATAATATTAGCAATGCAAAATAAAATTCACATAAACCAAGAACTACGACTAGAGAGAGATACCCAAAAATAATAAAATAAAAAAAGACGTTGTAACCCCATATAGTAAAAATTAGACCAAATCGAAGTATAACCAGAACAACAAATATAATATGTTTCCCTCGTTCTTGAAATTGAGTTGGGAAGGACGTTTCTTCAGTACATGAGAGCACACTTAGCACAGTCGATTCGAAAAAAATAAATAGATTAGATATATAGATGTATAGATGAGTTTTTGACGAGCAGTAAACTTAATTAAAACACGAATATAAGATACATATTCCTATCAAATTACCTAGTTCTAATGGATATCAACAGCAACTACAACCGCAACAATCAGTAGTAAGTTTGTTTGTTTGTTTTTTTCGTTGTCGTAATTTGTTTAACATAGTTCTGCAATAGACTAAATTCTTTGGGTTCTTGCAATTATTTACTATTACTACAGCTTGGATTGAATAAGTTACCTATTGTCTCATCTTGTCTTGTCCTTACTATGCCTATGCCTATGCCTATTCCAATGCCTATGCATTTGTCTTTGTCTTTGTCCTCTGTCGCCAAAAAATAAATTCGATTCGAAATGAAAAAAAAAGTTTTTTGGCGGTAGCGATGCGAAGTGGTTCTGGTTGGCGCTGGGATGTGTATGGTTTGCCCTATTTGGGTAAGTGTATTTCGAGAATTTTCCTAATTCGGGTAAACGGCAGTCGCGTTTATACCAGATCTGGAAATTTACATATTTACATCAAGACAGCTGGCGGTGGAAAATGTAAGAACAAGAAAGCTGTTTGACCTTTGATCATGATAGAAATCATGATCCTACCTAGTGTATTTTAATGGGATCAAGAGTATCTATCGATCACGTATGATTTATAAGAGATTGGGTGCGTTGAGGTATGGGTGGGCTCTTGTTTATTTAGTCCATATAGACAAGAAGAATTCAAGAAATGGTATATTGATTTGGACTTGATTCTAAATTTTACCATATGGGCAGATTGGATTCGATTCGAATCGATCGGATTGGATTGGATTAAATTAGGATGAATTGAATAATTGATTGAGGCTGAGATGCATTGACAATATTGTATTGGATGATATGAAGTTTATGCTTATAAAAGATATGATGAGTATATAGGTTTTGAATTAAAAATTGGTGTTAATTTGATTTGTATATACGTATTAAGGGCAATTTTGATCGTAATAATTGCTATAGAAAGAAAAGGGAGGGAGCTGGCATCTTGTTTAATTAGAGATGTAAAATTACATTCTTTAACCATCACTCTCACTCTTGCTATGGGGTGTCTCTGTGTAATATTATGTTTTTTTTATTATTAGAAATGTCAATTTAAAGGAAAAATTGATGTTTAACTTAAACTCTTGAATGTATCATTAGTATAGTCCAGATTACATTTAAGGCAAACGACTAGCAAATATATTTTTGATTGCTATTGTTAGTTTCAAAATTATCTTTTTTTTTTTAATTTTTTGATGAGTTACTTTACTTGTGCCTCCTCAATTGGTTTTAATTTCCAGGTAGTGAAATTATGCCCTACACTTTCGAAAGCCAGACTCTATAATTACGTTGGGCTGAATTGATGTATTCGGAGGTATCAATGCTATCGTGTAATCCCAACTCATAACGTGGTACAACAGAGCTCTTATCATTATATGAGCTGTAGGTATAGTTATAGTTATAATCTGATTTCATCACCATCATCGGCAGTTCTAAATCATGCTCCAATTCAAATATTTCATCATTAATTTTAGAAACTGGCGTCACAATATTATTAACTCCTTTCGTAGCTTGAGTTTCATTGTTCTTGTCCCCACTGTCGCTGGCACCAGCACCAGCACTAGCACTAGCACTAGCATTAGCAGTATAATTGGGCTTAGTGTTTTGTAACATATTGGGATGTTTTAATAATGGAGAAATTATGCAATCAGGTAATTCCTCTAAATAAACGTCGTTTGTTACAGAGAAATAAAATAGGTCATCATCATTTGGTTTCTCTAGTCTTGACATAATCGATTCTTGTGTATCAATCAAATCTCAAAACGATTAAGGAAAAGAAAAACTTATATGATGAAAATATTGTGATAAGCCTCTTTGTTTGTATTAAATGTCAACAGAGACTAAATTTAGTTTGGTTATATACTCTTACGTATAGATAGAAATGGTTTATATTTCATACAAGATTATAATACAATACAACACAACATAATATAAGATAATTCAAAAATCAAGCAAGAATGAAAAAACAATCAACGACAAGATAAGCTCGATTCAGACAGATACTTCAAACCAAAAGCACATCTTTATATATACTATTTCGATAGACTTGAAAACTAAACTAAAATTAAGAGGTTATCATTGTCATCTATTCTTATCCAAGTTTAATCATAGAAAGACTCATAATTGCAAATTTAGTTTACTCATTAACTTTTTTGTAACTTCAATACATAAAAATTACAACAAAAAAAATGGATAGTATGATACTGTATCGTATCTTAACGTGGATGTCATACATAGATACAGTCACTCACACACACATTTCATACACTGAGAAGAGTAATATTAATATTAATATTATCGAAATCATGCAAAATACATAAACACAGGTGGTAATAATTACCCATTACAGTTGAAACAAGAAGAGTGCCCCACCACCATAACAACATGTATTTTCATTTTGGCAATTACAAGCACACTTTTGATGGTAGTTAGATATCACCAACCATTCGACAGAATTACAAGTGTGCAGCAACAACGATAGTTGGAAAGAAAAAATTTTCATTACTTGATTAGTTTGAATCAAATAGAATAAGATAGATAGAAATGAAACGAAATCAGTTAGAATTGTCTATATAGATAGGGCTTGAGTCCCCAGTTTAGTACTCCAACTCATCTTTAAAAGAATCAACACAATCAATCATCCGACTCTTGCTTGATAGTGTAATTTAGAATAAAATGAAATGTAATTAAATGTAATAATCTCAATCCACCCAAACTCAAGTCCAACCCAACCGAGCCAGAGGTGAGAAGATGGAGGATGATGGATGGGTGGGTGAATTAAAAAAAATCCATGAGTGCGATAAGAGTGATATGTTAAATTGCGTTGAATAAGCGATGTCCTTATCCTCTTGGGTAATTCCCATGTGTCAAGCAAAGTTCAAGAAGCAAGGTCGTTGTTGTAATACCGTTTGGTTTCTGGTTACTTTTAATCTCAATAACTCGTACTTTCTTTCTCTTGTGATTGCTGCATAAAACAAATGAAATTACAAGAGCCCTCTCTCTCTCTCTGTATTTCGACAAAATGGGAAGTAAGAAGTATGAAACAGACAAAACATATATATAAACACACATTTTTGGTGTCATGAGCACCCGTTTGCTTATTAGGTCTTGGTATCATTTGAAAGGCATGAGTCAAATACGAAATAATCACTCGTGGCAACACGATTGAAATGAAAAGTTGATTTAACGATTATATTGTATAAACCTCTAATTCAAGAGCACGCAATTTTGTATTAATGGGCATGTAAGTATGGAGAGAGGGAGGTACATATATGGTTTTAGTTACTCTTGTAAATTTAGACGTAATTGGAGTGATATCTTAAGTTCTTTACTCTATCCGTTCTAAATGGATTGATGTTGCCATCTGTGTGTGAGTGTGTGTGTGTTTTATTTATTTATTTATTGATAATTTACTTGAATGAAATGCAGTAGATGGGACTTGGGTTTTATTTTATTGTGTGATTCTTCTCTTGCACTTGTTATTTCGAATAAAGGTTTCTTTTCATCATGCTTTTTATTTCTGACCAGATTTGTCAAGGAAAGCCCGTTTCTTGTTTAGACAAAGTGATGATTTTATTTGTAAGTGTATGTCTCCACTCTAATGGATGGATAATGCAAAATTTATTCAGTTCACGTTTTTTCTTGGTCAAGTAACCCCACAAGCACAAGAACCATTACAATTTCATGCTTCGGGTGTATATTTGCAAATTCGAAAGCTGAGCTTCATGTGGATTAAATTTTTGTCTGCAACAAGAACGAGGTAAAGCCCTGTAATTCAAAATGGTCTACTACGAATATTAATCAATCAACGGTTATGTACCTTTGTGATCTTATAAAAATGTGTTTTATTTTTACAACAGTTTATTAATAACGCTAATGCACGTTTTTTTACTTCAGACCCCAGTAACTATTCCATTCTACATATATTTGGAATTCTTTACTCAGGAGATTCTACATCAGGTTTTGCATCTGGGAGTTCGGATCAAAAACGTGACAGCACATGCCTTGCTAGAACAATACACAGGAGTTAACGTTAAAAATTGGGCTGAACCGCTGTTCATTCGTTCTTACTCCCTCATTCTGACATTGGCAACTATCTCAAGAAACTAAATATTATATTATATCTAAATTTAATTAAATTCAATTACATTCAATCAAATTCTGTAAAGATGTTAGTAAAGGATACCGAATAAAAGGCACAATAAAATTAGTACCCCCAGCATTGATAAACTTTACCGTCTGTGTACCCCATATTGGTAAGGTTCAACAAACATTGATCTAAGATCAACCGCGAGCACGACAATCATAACAGTGGTATTCTGCTATGACCGTACACAATTTAATATTCTAAATAAATAAAACATAAATAGTATAGACATCCACCGGTACAAAGACCAGAACGTTTCGTGACTCTGGGTGTCTATATAAAAGACATTGTTGGAGATTTTAGAACAAGAAAAAAAATAAAAACTGAAACAAGAACTAAAAAGTATTATTAAACCTTACTTCTTTGATTAAAAATATATCTTCTCTTTATATACCAATTGGAGAATCGAAAGATTTCGAAAGTAAATGAAAAAAATTTTCGTTGAGTTGTCTAAGATTGTCCGGGTAACTGGAGATGAAAGGTTTGGACAGGGCTATCCATTCCACCATACTAAAGTAACAATGTAATTAGGTCTTAATATATCTTCATTTACAGCTTATAGTATGGTATAGTATGGTATAGATGATAATATGCAGCCAAGTGTCACAATATTAGTTGTATATTATTAATAAATATTATATAGAAAGGGTAGATTTGGCCTTATTGCAGCTGTTGGTATTCTATAAAAATTGTATATATTACTATAAAATGTTCTTATGGAGGGGAGGGGAGGTTTGGGAGTGGATTGGTTTAATGACGACGGGAAGCGGTGATGATGTTGTTCATTTCTTCAACCTTAGCCTTAGCTCTACCGAAAGAACCTAATCTCTTCTTGGCGACCTTTCTGGCTCTTTTTTCACCGACGTTTCTGATAACATCCATCAATCTTCTTTCGTATGGGGCTAAACCAGCGATTTCTCTGACTAAAGAACGAACAAATTTAGTTCTGTTAGAGGCAGCACCTTTCTTATAAGAAATCTTTGGAGCTGGGGTCATGGAAGTGACCTTCTTACCCTTGTTCAAACCTACAGCAATTCCAGTTTTAGCGGCCATTGTGATGTCGATGTGTATGCTACTTTACTTAACCTTTAGTCAAAGGATAACACCAATAAAACCTCTTGGTTATAAGTAAAACTTACAAGATTTTTATTTTTATATATGATGTGCTTTTCCAATTTCTTTGATATTGATATTAATTAGAAAATTTGTATGTGTTCGTGTTTGGTGATGTGTATTTTTGCAGATACATGGATCTAGCATATACATATATACATTGCTAGTATAAGAATATGTGATATGAACTTAGATATATACTTATATACATGGGGACAATGTCTCATAGGGCTTTCATATTAGTGGTTCTCTTGTTTTTAAGAACTTCAAAATAACATTTAAAGGTACAAATAAGGGGAATTGGTGGGGGGAGGAAGAAGGGCGGTTGAGACGAAGTTGGATCATAACAACGTAAAAATAGTATTGTATTAAAGTGAATAAGGATTTAAATTTATAATTCGAGTATGTACAAGTATCGACCAATGCAATATTTACGCTAGGATCTAAAATAACCAGGTGCTAATGTCTCTCTCTCTGTCCCTTAATACATTGATATGTAGTTCTTTGTTTTCTTGCCTGTTTTAAACGGTGACTTTTGAAAGATCAAACTTATATGCTGAAAGTTTTGAAATTATTTCGTTGACTGAATTGCCTTTGTGGTCTTCCATAAACGTTTTGAAATTTAGAGTTATACCGTCTGGTCTTTTTTCGAACTTCTCTAATGGATACAAATACTGTAATAACTTTCTTTTGCCTACTGTGATCTTTAATGTTTTACCATTAAAATCTTCGCTGAAGAAGACCTTTATCTTTTTACCATTTCTCTCTATCACTTCAGCATCCTTATGTATAGGATTATTCTTCAGTTCTATTCCTTTTAGAACAGCATAACGTAATTTCCAGCCAGTAGGTCCCAATTCTTTGATTCTTGCGGATTTTTCTTTAATTAAATAGTTATCAAGACCACCTTCTTTAGAAATTGTTCTCAATACTTTTGTAGTCATCTTCAAAGACACTTTTTTATTCAATGTTTCACTCCATAGAGCTTTTTTAACAATATTCGGCAACCAAGTTCTTCTAGTCTTGTGTTTACTTTCAGATATAGTATTCCCATGTTGAATAAAAGAACCACCATAGAGACCAGTATTACTTTGTTTAAAAATCTTGGACTCACCATACTTGTAATCTGGGACATCTGGTTTCTTAGCAGGAATGTAATGAGGTTTTGCATCACCAACCTTATAATCTGGTTTTCTAGCAACTCTTCTACTTTCAATTAATCTCCATTCTTTGCATGCCTTAAGACCAGAGGAAAAGCATCTCTTGAAATTAACAATTCCGTGATTCATCATCACCTATCGATATTACCCTCTTGTGTCCACTAGTTCAATTGAAGAAGAATATAAAATGTTCAAATCAAAGGTGTATGTATGGTCTTCTTAAATCTTATCCTTTCATGGTTTAATATCGAGAAAGGTCGAATTTTGCCAATAATTTTTCAGTTAGTATGGATATTGGTGTTCGTGTATGGTGCTTAATTGCTTTGTTTATTGAGACGCTATTTACTCATATAGTGGAGGATAATGGCCTGCATGAACTAGATTTTTTGCTTCTAACCGTATTATCTTAATATATATATGTGGATATATGAAAGTTTGTGTGCTTACACCTATTTAATTTTACTTCAGTTCACAAGATAGAGAGTATATAGCATACATAAACTAGGGCGTTATTAGTGATCATTCTGACACTGAAGGTGTGATATTCACGTGATATATATTTTAGAACATATATCACGTGAGTAATGTTTGGCTTGAGATATATATATATATATATGTATACAGTCTTTATTTAAAACATTTTGACCTGAGACAGAGTTTATATATCTTCATTTCTTGACGAACTATTGAATTGAGTTGTAATTGAATTTTAATATATCCCAATACTTCAGCAAAACCACTTCAAATATATTTTTTTATGTTTAGTCCCAACTGGGACCTATAAAATATAACTTTCTGATAAACTAATAAACTCAAGAAAATATTAATCTTGGCAGACCTCCCTTCCAAACATACAACTAAATAATATAGTCACCAACTATATCACAGGTTCACATAGCTAACCATCCTCCTTTGTAGCTCTCTCTATTTTTATGTACCTAATTACAGACATACCCGATCTCATCTCAAGCTCATCGGATATCAAATTTGAAAAGTTACACACATACTTCCACATATAATCCAAAGCATAAGAAAGCAACCGCTGAATAGACATAAGAGATATAGCAGCTAGTCTAATACAGGAGCAACGCAACATTAAGTACTCTAGTCAAGTCATAAGTCGATGGCTGGATTGTCAATACTAGGAACTTCAAAGCTATCGTTTTGTCCTTATTGTTATTAAAATAATAGTCAGTAAACTAGCAATAGACTTAATAATAATATGGTTGTCAAACCTTCGAATAGTTTGATCAAACAACATAAGTGGCTGAAAAATGAGGAATCTTCATTGGGAGATGCCCAAGTGGCTATGGATATAGTCAATGGCTCCAGTACTGTTAAGACTGATATCAGTGAATCATTTCTGAATAAGGTTAACAATACTGGTCAAATTATTACAGCCAGTCAAAGTACATCTATAAGCAATAAAGAAGAGGATGAAGAACCTTCCAAAGATGGAGACTCCCAAATTATGCAATTACAAGATGTGATACACATTCAAGGCAATATGATAAAGATTTTAAACAAGAAATGTCAATTAACAGGTAATAGGTGTGATATTTTGAGTTCTACGAAATTATCGCAGATAGAAAAAGATCAACAGATAAATAGCATTTTGTGTGAACTTAATTCTGTAAGTGAAGAATTAAGGTTAATGGAAGTAACTTTACTCAAGATATCGAAATCGTGCATATCGGAAGACTTAAATGAAGGAGCCAGCCTCCCCAATTTGAAAAACCAAATTCATAATGAACCAAATAACACAAATAACCAAGAACGTATAGATTATAATAATTTATTAGACAAAACTAATGATATTCCTTCAATTGATCTAACATCTTTTGATGACCAAAAATCAAAACATAACGTACTGCCAAATGTATTAGAGAAAGAAATAATCTCAAATAGGGAAGAAATTGAATATAATGAAGAAATAAACTTAATTGATCATAACTCTGACGAATTCAAAGAAATACCGACAACTATTGAAAGACGTTTAAGGGAAAAGAAACAGATCAACTATAAAATTCCTGAAAAAGATGACCATTTCGAATATGGCATGGGTGCAAGACCAAATCCAAATTATGATGAATCGGTGGAGATAACAATGGATGCTGAGTTTGATGATAATTCTAGTTATTTAAATACCAGGGATTATGGTAGTGATGGCAATATGAATCAAAGCGATATTGATTTTGTAGTGAGTGATACATTTCAACAAACACAGGACGCAGATTATTATGGCAGCGATGAGGAAGTAGTAGATGCATCTGATGCAGATGTAGGTGAATCTATTATATTTAGTCATCACAAATCTATGGAAATGCAAGTAATTCTGTCATCGCCAATAAAAGAAGATCGGATTGAAACAAAGGAATCACAACAAATAAAAAATTTAGCACCCACGAATTATGATACAATTGAAAACGATCCAATTATAGAGGATACTAATAAGTCAACTCTCTTCTATAGCACAATGACCCAACTTTCTGATGTTGAGGTTGTTAATAGTGATGATAACTCCAAATCTACTAAAAATTATGAAGTAGAACTTGATGAAAACCTACTATCTGATGATTCTGATTTTGATTTAGAAAGAGAGAATTTAACTCAACATTCTACAATGAAAGATGTAGATGATGAGCTAAAGATAATCTCGGAAAAACCAATTGAAAGTGAGGTCATTGAATTACAGGAAGAACCGATAATTCAGCAATTTCACATTCCTTCTCATGCAACTGTACCTGGTAAAGCTAAAGACTATAACTGGACAGAAGAATTATACTACAGATTGCATAATACATTCAGAATACAGAGTTTTAGACAGAACCAATTAGAAGCAATTAATGCAACCTTAAGCGGTCGTGATGTTTTCGTATTGATGCCTACTGGTGGTGGTAAGTCGTTGTGTTACCAATTACCAGCCATTGTTAAATCAGGTACAACTAGTGGTACAACTATTGTAATTTCCCCATTGATCTCTTTAATGCAAGATCAGGTAGAACATTTGCTGGATAAGAATATAAAGGCCTGTATGATTAGTTCAAAAAGTACAGCAGCACAAAGAAAAGAAACATTTAACTTATTTGTGAATGGATTATTAGATTTGGTTTATATTTCACCAGAAATGATCAGTGCATCTCAGCAATGTAAAAGGGCCATTAATAAGTTATATTCCAGCTCGAAACTTTCAAGAATTGTTGTCGACGAAGCTCATTGTGTCTCAAACTGGGGTCATGATTTTAGGCCAGATTATAAGTCATTAAGTTTCTTTAAACGAGAATATCCAAATATACCTCTGGTAGCTTTGACAGCAACTGCCAGTGAACAAGTTCGAATGGATATTATTGCCAATTTGGAAATGCATAACCCTCTTACATTGAAACAAAGTTTTAATAGAACAAACTTAAATTATCAAGTCAAGGCAAAATCAAAGGAAACAATAAATGAAATATGTACCCTACTAAAAGGAAGGTTCAAAAATCAATCAGGAATCATTTACTGTCACTCAAAAAACTCCTGTGAACAAGTAGCTGAACAGATTTCTCAGCACAAGATCAGATGCGCATTTTATCATGCTGGGATAGATCCAGCTGAGAGACTACAAATTCAGAAAGCTTGGCAAAAGAATCAAATACAAGTCATATGTGCCACAGTTGCATTTGGAATGGGAATTGATAAACCAGATGTTAGATATGTATTCCATTATACGGTTCCGAGAACCTTGGAAGGGTATTATCAGGAAACAGGGAGAGCAGGAAGGGATGGTTTATATTCATATTGTATTTGTTATTTTTCTTTTAAAGATGTTAGAACACTTCAAACAATGATCCAAAAGGATAAAAACCTTGATAGAATAAATAAACAAAAGCATCTGGAAAAGCTTCAGCAAGTTGCCTCATACTGTGATAATGTCACAGATTGTAGAAGACATCAAATCTTAAAATATTTCAATGAAGATTTTGATCCGTCTCTCTGTGAAAAGAATTGTGACAATTGTAAGAATTCAGGTTCAACATATATGGAGGAAAGGGAGATTACTGAAGAGGCAATTGCAATTGTCAAGCTAGTTAAATATTTGAAAAATGATAAGGTTACAAGATTATATTGCCAAGATATTTTTAAAGGATCTAGAAATGCAAAAATTGTTCAACTTGGCCATGATAGATTGGAAACACATGGATTAGGTAAGGCATTCTCAAAATCTGATTTAGAGAGGATATTTTCACAGTTGATCACTTTAAGAATATTACAAGAGTATGCTGTAGTGAATGGGTCTGGATTTTCTTCTTCTTACGTCACAATTGGATCAAATTCAAGATTAGTCGAACAAGGTAAAATGAAAGTGAAAATGAAATTCACAGTCCAAAATCCTTCTTCCAATCCTTCTTCCAATCCTTCTTCAAGAGACAAAAGTATAACAAATTTTAGTAGCATGATTTCTGAAAGAAGTAATAAAACCTCTTCATTTACATCGACTAATTTAAGTCCAAACAATTCAAATGTAGGTGTCAACTATCCCATTGTACTCCAAGATAATTCCAGCTTACAGTCTACTCAAGAATTAAGCCATATAACTGTATCTTATGAGTCATTAAGAGCTGTATCTATGTCACTAGGAAATAGAATGAACCCGCCGATAACGAACTACCTTCCTGATGTTCTAATTAAAAAAATAGCGATGGCCTTGCCAGAAACAGAGGATGAATTTATAAGTATTGTGGGAAATTTCAGTAACCACACTAGAAAGTATAAATATTTTAAAGATACCATGACAAATCTAAGATTGCAAAGAAATCAAATCAAAAAAGATAATAAGGTTTCAAATTCATTTCAACCATCGGGAGAATCTTATCCAATTAATGACCAGAATTCGGTCGATGAAACCCAATTTAAACCTTCTTCAAGAGAACATAAAAATAATTTAGAGATTATCCAAAAAATCAGAGATAGTCAGAAGGTTAAAAATATATTTGATGGGGATGTAATTAAACAGAAGAAATCATCACAGAAACGTGCATATAGGAAACCTAAACGTTCCTACAGAAAGAGAAAACGATTTTAGCCGTACATCGATTCATTAATTAACTTACATACCTAAATATCGATTTAGCATTAAATTATTCGCATTTTTATAAACTACAGAAATTCATAGCATAGATTTAACATTTTTATAACGTCTAACATTTATCAATCTAATGTCTAAGATAGAATCGCGTTATATATACGATTTAATATCAACCCTACCAAATTATGTTCAAACAACAGCTCTAACGTTTTGAAACTTTTTACCACTTACACACCCAAACCAATCACCTCCATGAGGTCTCCATGCAATATTATTAATCTCTTGTTGTCTATTAGAATAACACATGGCTGGGACATCAAGTACATTTTGAACGTTGGATTGATTCCATTGTGATACAGGCGCATTTATTTGTTGACCAGATATTGGACCATCATTGGCATTAACTTTATTTTCATTTGCAGATAGAGAAGTTGGTGAAAGCCATTCGTTCAAATCCCAGTATAGCACTTGACAATCGTCACCGCATGAAAGTAGTACGTTTGATTTTTTAGGATGCCATTTAATTTGGTTAACAGCAGCTGAATGACCTTCTAATGTCAATACTGGAGAGCCAGGGTTTCTCATATCCAAGATTAAGATTGACTTAGAATCTAAGGCAAATGTTGCCATAACATTAGGATCACTAGGAGAAGGTTGTAAACGTAACAATGCACTTGGTGATTTTTCATTATCAGTTAGCGTATCGGAACCATTTTGATCTGAATTTGATTCATAAATGATTGTACTATGAGCTAATGATCTTAAATCGAAGACTCTTACACTACCATCACCACCACAACTTGCAAATAATTGAGTTGAATGTGCTAAAAATTTTACGTCAAACACTTCACTATCATGGGCAATTAACTGAGTTCTAACATAATTACTACTTTGTAAATCCCAGACAATACAAGTTGTATCTATTGAACTTGAGATTAACAAATTCGTATCTATTGGATTCCAATGGAAGGAAGTTACAGGAGGAAATTGTCCCAATATATCACTACTGGATGTAGTGTTTTTTGACAAACTGTGATGTTGATCGTTATATTTACAAAGGGATAGATTAACCTGTTCTGTCAAACTACTGTCTTCTTCATTTAAGGACCATATTCTCAGAGAGTCAGAGCTAGTAGCGAATTTTCTTGGTTGCTGAACAGAAGGTAACCATTGAATATTGCTTACTGGGTATATTATATTATGTTCAGCTACTTTATCCCATGATAACATATCTGAAGAATGGATCACTTGTAACTTGTTTAATGTATCTTCTTTATACGAACCTAAACATACGTTATCATCAGAACTCCAATCTAAGGCATACAGAGGTCTTGGTGATTCGAATTCACAAACTGCAGAGTTTGATGTAGTGCCCATTGAGGTAGGTCCTCTAAATTGATTCAATTGAGAATAACCACCCTGTAACATCGGTTGTGAGTAATTCAATGGAGAATACATTGGTGATCTTGAAGTAGAATAGGTGGAACTTGGAGAATTCAAAGTACCTCCACCTCCACCTCCACTATTAGGTTGAAAAACATTTGAGCCACCAGGAAACTGTTGAGTAGTGAAATAACTATTCTGGTTATTCTGTCTATGGTAGCTACCAAAAGAGATAGAACTACGTTTTTGAGTTCTATATGGATCCATCCTAAATAAAAATAACTAATACTAGCGAGCAAACAGTATATCTAAACAACAATCCTAACCGGTATAACGAAAGTGATCTAATGTAGTCCTATATTCCCAGTTTGTAGTATTGAAGAGATGGTAATAAATAAAATAGAATGAAAAAAAAATATTTATATAAATTGACAGCCAATCCCAATCCCAGTTCCAATTGAACTAATAAAAAAAATTAAAACAAATTAACAATCAATTGAACTATTATATTCCATGTATTAGAATACTTCAACCCATTTCATTTAACCATTTATAACTATCTCTGAAACTATTTCAATGTATTAAGTGTGCTTCTTATAACGAATCCATAATAATTTTTCATAATTTTTCATTATAAGAGCTCCCTATTACCCCTGAGGTGGGATGAAAATAGTATATATAACTCAATGATTTAACATAACAGAGGTCTTATAGGATGTGGGGTGTACATGGAATGATTTAAAATGGTTGATCCAGCAGTCTTGATTGTGATATTGTTGATTGCATTCGTTTTTCCAGGTTGAAATTTGTAAAAGAATCGAATTATATATAGATTAAGATCGAAGTTTTGATTCGAGTCTTATGATTAAAATCGAGGGATTCATGAACTACCAAGAACCCTTCCTTCACCCACGAAATTGTTGGTACTCCCACTGTTATTATTTGTAGTTGTTTCTGCATCATTGTACAATGGTAGGGTTTCCATAATCGAATCAAAAATAGAAGAGTATTCTTCTTGCCTTTGGATTTCCTCTTCTTTGTAGTATTTCAACCAGCTTGGCAAGGAATCGATAATTGTCGATAGCAATTGGTCTAACTTGATTAGTATCCAGCTTGGTGGCATAAATTTTGCAAACCATGTTTCTTTCCATGCCATTGCATAACCTAATAATAATCCAAGCAAATGACCCCAGAAACTTGAGCCTGGAAGTAAAATAGATATTAAAAGTAATAGAAACAATGGTGAGTATTGTGTTGGAATACTCCATTGAGTAGAAAACAACTGGTATCTTGGGTGAACAGTAGACTCTTTCCAACTGAAGTAGGCAATAAGCATAAAGATCAATCCACTTGCACCACCAACAGCAACATTAGGAAACAATACTGATCCAACTAAACAGTAAACCAACCCGCAAACCAGGGAACTGAACATCAATGTAAATAAAGTGTATAAAGTTCCATGTGTCATTTCAAATATGTTCAATGGTATCATCATTGCCATTGAATTAAATAGCAGATGAGCTAAGGATAAATGAACCAAAGGATAAGTCAGTAACCTGTAACATTGAAGACTGAACAACGAACCTGGAGACAATGATAAAAGTAGATTGATTGGATATACAATATTCACCATAAATATCAAAAAGATCACTAGAACAAATAAAGACGTCAAAGTCGCAGGTGGTTTCCCCTCTGGTAATAATAAACCTTTAATAAAATCAGTATTTATCATCTTTACTTCAAAAGAACTAGATTTCAATCACAGCAAACTAAATGTGGGAACGTTATCCTAATTGACCTGAGATTATTAATCTATTGAGCCAATTGCTTGAACGTATCTTGTATACCTTTTTTAGGTTCAGATTCAATCGATCTTGTTATGGTGAATTTTTCGATAATTTTTATAACAAATTTCGATATTTAAAGACATCGATTCGAATTTAACCCAAATCTAAAGGGAAAAGCAGTGGAAAAGAGATGAATATAAGGGCATTCAGGAGTGTCATTGACCGTCAATCATCAGTTTATAGAGGTATAATGACTCAGCCTAGTAGGAATTTCAAAAGAGCCAGAAGAAATGGTCAACGAGAAGATGTTGTTTCAAATGCTATGAATAAACTGTCTCATGTTGAATTATCTGATGAGCAGAAGCAATTGAGATCTAAAGTGATGGGTTTTATTAGAGATAATCTATCTAATTATGATTCTAAGGAGGGTCCGGCTATGTATGTTATTGAAGGTAATGCAGGTACTGGGAAATCAGTGATTTTAAATGCCCTATTTGATGAGATTCAAAAAATTGCCAACACAGGAGAAGATCCAGATGATGTTTTAAATAACACCAGTAATTATTTGGTAGTCAATCATCCTGAGATGTTGAAACTGTATGTCAGGATCAGTAAGAGTTTGAAATACGTGACCAAGTCTTCATTGGAGAGGCCAACATCCTTAATTAATGCCTTGGGTAAAAGTCAAAAAATGGCAGATGTTGTCATTATAGATGAAGCACATTTACTATCTACTTCTAAGGATGCTTTCAAGAGATTTTATGGTCAGAATCAATTAGAAGAATTGATGAAGATATCTAAAGTGTTGGTCCTTGTCTATGATGACAAGCAAGCTTTGAGAATGGGGTCGTATTGGGATGAAAATACTAGGAATGGTTCCAATCTAAAGGCATTCTATGACATGGTTCCTAAGGATAGAAAAGGATGGTACAATTTGAAACAACAATTCAGAGTTACTGCTCCAGATGACGTATTGAATTGGATTCATCAAATTAGTACCGTAGGGGCAATTCCAGAATTCCCAAAGTCATCATTAAAGGATGATTCAAAGGACAATGGGTTTGATTTTAAGATTTGGGACGACTGTGGTGAAATGTATGACGCTTTGAGAGATTTGGATACTAAATATGGACAATGTAGAATGTTGGCAACTTATGATTTCCCTTATAGATTGGATGGGAAGGATTACTATGTTACTTGTGGTGATAGTTTTAAAGTTCGTTGGGATCGTTACACGCCTCGAGAAGTGACTCCATGGAGTGAGAGAGCTGACACTATTGATGAAGTTGGAAGTGTCTATACTATTCAGGGTTTTGATTTGAACTATGCTGGTGTCATTTTGGGTAGGTCTGTGACGTACGATGCTGCTAATGACTGTTTGAAGCTAGACATCGATCTTTATGATGACCATGCTGGTTTCACCAAGAAGAAAAACATCCACGATGTTAAACAAGTAAAAGAAAAAATTATTATGAACAGTATTAATGTTCTTTTGACTAGAGGTGTTAAAGGGCTGTATGTATATGCATGGGATCCTGAGTTGAGAGAAAGGCTCAGAAAATCTCAACAAGTATAAACGAGATTTGGTACACGTTGATAGACTTTTATAAAATTTCTATAAATCATATATAAATGATAGATATGGGTAGTATTTTATATATATATTCATTTTTTTTTTAGGTTTTTTTTTAAAGGAACTTCTTTTTTAATAAAATGATATTGATTTTGCTTTATTTACATAATTGAGATATGATTAGTTTTCCTTCTTATCGGTGGTAACTTTTTCAGCAGTCTTCTTCTTTGCAATGGCTTCCCATGATATACCGGCAAAAACCACGAAGATACCTATCCATTGGAATGGTTTAATTGATTTCCCAAAGACCACGATACTTAAAAGCATCGACACCATCTTTCTTGTGACAGTAATCATAACCAACACAAGAGACCCATAATTCTGCAGTGTAAAGAAGATAAAACATTGGCCAATGGCACCGCAGATAGCGTAAGTGATTAGATACTTTACAATTACTGGATCCAAAGTCATCATTTTCAATGAGTGTTGCCACTGAGATTTATCGATAAACATCAAATAGGAAAGGTTCCAAATGATTATGAACATATTTAATGCAAACATCAAGTGTGCACCAGTAATCAATCTGTCTTTTGAATTTTTGCTATTATTCTTTCTGTTTGATTTCAACATTTTGTCCTGAGTGGCATTGGTTAAGCCGTCCATGAACAGACTTGACAGTAACATGACAAATCCCATTGCACTTGGGTGTTTGTCATTGTCCTTTAACTTGCTACCTTTACTATTACCACCGATGGTGAATATAGTGACACCAATAGTGACAAAAATGGATATCAGTTTCTTTTGTCTTGGAATGGAGGTACCGTATAGCAAAAGATGCACCAACAGAATTGGAATCATCTTACATGATTTAGCCAACATATAAGTCAAATAATCCACATATTGCAAGCTGTAAGCAGCCAATGGTGCGGAAAAACTTTGAGTCAATGAAGTCAATGCCATGTCCCACTTATAATCCCAAATCAACTCAATTGGACTATACTGAGACCCCATCCAGTTCAAGTACAAGTAACCCAAAATCATTGCAGCCAACCCTTGAGCCACAGCAACTACATTGGGACTTTTGAACAAGTCATTTGAGTTTTCCCAAACATTAGTATTCAACGGTTCCTGAACCAATGCCCAAGTTAAAAAACTAACATAGATCCCTACAGCGCAGAAAACCAGCTTCCCAACATTACTTTGACCCATTTCCTACTGCAATTGACACCAAAACGAAGCCTCTCTCGATCTTAAGCCTGCAATATAAATATATATATATATATATATATATAAATATCTTAATGAGTTTCGAAACACTGAAACCTGATTTGAACCCAATTTGAAGCTAGTCAACTACACAAATAAGTTATAAATTCAACAGCAGTGCTTACCCACACCATCAAAGACACAGAACCGATGATCTAGAACACTCCAAGACCAATAACCTTGCTCTTATAAGCAAAACTTCGACAGGTTGTGCTGGTCGATTGGATCAGAAGTTTTGCGATGAGGTCAGATTCGAAATGCGTTTTGTTAAGACGTTTCGACTACGTCACAGCATGACAAGAACAGTTGAGCTGGTCATTTGAAAAGAGAAAGGACATGGGTTTTGGAGAAAGACGGATGATAAATATGAGATTATCTGAATAAATGAACGGTATTGTCAATTATAATCACACAAAACAATATTTTATCTCTTGTGTGTGCGTTTGCGTATGTATAACCTTTATAATTGGGAGAAACCGATGGTTGTCACGTGATTTTGGTGATAATTGGGCCTTTCTGAAAAAATTTTGCAAAATAAAAAAAACGATTTAAAGCTCAAACCAAGCCAAATTTGTCTATAAAAGAAAACGATTAAGGTGTAGGAATTGAGGTTTTGGACGATTGAATTGTGTTTAATTGAGTGGTTCTGTCGATTACAAGGGATCAGTGGTTTTATTAGTTGTGATTTGTTTATTATGGCTGGTGCTTTTTCTGCTGTGGCAGCTACTTATGGTAGCCGAGTCGAACAATTGCTTGAGACTGAGGAGGATTACAAGAGATATCATGATAAATTGAATAAGAAATTGAGGAAGTTGAGACATCAGTTGGGTCTTATTACTAAGGACACTAAGAACTATTCGGCCAAGGAAAAGTATTCTGGTTTGGGGTCTGAGTTTTATGACAATGAGAATAAGCTAATCGCTGTTTTGATGTTGTTGCATATTGAAAGAGATATGTCAATTGTGGAGGCTATTAAATTGAGGTCTTCTAAAAGGGGTAAGTTGAAGAAGAGTGAGAGGAAGTTGTTGACTATTAGATTGAAGAAAGCTGTGGACACTAGCAGTCGTTTGGTTAAGGTTACAAGTAATGAATCATTGTGGATTTCCAGATTGCAATTTTTAATCGTGGAAAAATTGATAAATGTAGAGAATTATATATATGGTAAACACATCAAGACTAAGAATAGTGGCCAAATCACTGCAAATTTATCGTTGGTATTGGTCGCCATTGATTTCTTGTCCAAGAAAGATTTGCTATCAATGGCTGTTTGTGATTATTTGAAGACAAAATATGAATATACTTTGAATCAACACTCTGGAAGTAACTTTAACCAATCTCATTTGGTAAATGTCATGAACAAGGAAGTACAAAAGAACGCTGATGATGAACTGGTCAAGATTTTATTGGCAAATGGATTTAAACAACTGGAAGATGTAGAAATGGCTGAAGAATCTTCATCTGATGAAATTCAATGGCGTAATTTTAATGCTAAGATCAACGATTCTCAAGTGAGCCAGCTGATTTCAGAAGCGCAATCTATGAAAGTTGTATCTGTTAACGATTACGATAATATCTTGTTGAAATGGCAGGATTCATTAAATAGACAAGAGGCTTATATGACATTTAATGAAGGCCATGATGACACTAACGAAAATGATCAGATTGTATTGGCCTATATCAAGTTCCATTCTTTGTTTACTTCTATATCTCGTGACAACCATTTTTTCAATAAATTGATTAAAAGATGGGAAGATATGTCTAAAAAATCAATGTCTTCAAAATTAGTAAAATACAAAGAAATTGAAAGACTAGTGAAAAATTTAATCAAATATTTAGTTGACGTAATGGAATTACCAGGTATCTATTCAGATGAACAACTAATGAATCAATTAGAACTATTGAAATGTTACTATACCTCTCAATTGAATTCACATTGTCTAAGCCGTTTGTATCAAGAAAATGGTAAGTATTTACATGCTTTAGCTCTACATGTGGATTCATTGCAAAAATTAGAACAAGCGCTAATGGAAACTGGTGACTTGAATGAAATTTACATACCCGATCATATATTAGTTGAAGAAAAAGTCAAAGCTCTATACGATTTAATTCAAAAATCATGGAGTAGTATTGTCGGTTTGGCCGAATATGAAAAGAGTCTAAACAAAACCTCAAAAAATAAAAGCAAAACTAACGAATCACTAATAGAAAGAATCGACACTCAACGTATAAAACCAGGAAACGTTGATTTAAATAACTTATTCCCAATGAGACCAATAATTAGACCTGTTGGAAGTAAACCAACATTGTTTGATTTGGGCTTCAACTACATAACATACGAAAACGAAACAAATACAACATCAGAGCAACAGAAATCTATCGAAACTAAATCAGATGCATCATCACAAAATGAAGCGGAACAAGTTTCCTCAATTGAGCAACCAAAGAAACGTAAATTCTTAGGTCTATTTGGACGTTAATTCTGCCTCCATTTCCTAAAATTTGATTCCAACTTTATCAATATTTAATGTATATCTATCTAAATACAAATAAATATCCTCTGATACAATCTTTATATCTAATTTAATTGATTTAATTAATTTATGCCATCTCCATCACCATTGTCATGGATCAAAATTGATTTGATACTAACTATGACGTCATTTGGATATTATACTTAAAGGTCCGAAATTTCAATATCGAGCGAATATTAAAGGCTTCATAGGATAAATTGATGGAACTTTATAGTACCTTAAAAGTTTAATAAATGTTTAGAAGATTTGAGATAAAGAACTCAAGATCTTGTTGTATCGAGGTCTAGGTTGGTATTTGAGATGGTTATTGGATTACCTAATAAGAAATGTTTTTGTTGGATTTGTTTAGACGAGTCAAGTTTTGATTCTTCATGGATACGGCATGAATGCGGTTGTAATTTGCAGTTACATAAGAAATGCTACATGAAATGGTTATACAATTTGAATAAGAAGCAAATGAATGAACGGTTATCTGTGTATGATCAAGGGGTTTCTTTGGATTCTGATTTGACTAGTAGGATGTTTTATTTGGTCGATGGACATTTAGATTTTTGTAGGGAATTGTCTACTGCTGAAATAATCACTTCTATTCCTGTTGTTGGTGTTCCTTTATTTTCTATTTTATGCATACCGTTACTTACAGGTTTGACAACTTTTGGTATCAAATATCTGGTGAAACTGATTTTCAGTTATGTACCTTTGAAACCTCCCATAACTCATGCAGAATGTCCTCAATGTAAAAAATACATTGAAACTCGTGCTATTACTTTTAGGAGCAGGTCTATCGTTTTAGAATTGTATTACCAGCTTAAACGTATGATTAGAACTGGTACTGTTTTAGTAGCGGTTACTTTATCTACACTTAACCTTGGAAAGTGGTGGTTTAAACTAGGTCTATGGCAACTACGTAAAATATTTCCTGAAGATGTTCTAAGAGTACTACTAGACATTAGTACTACCAAAGCGTTAGATGTTTATAGTGAGACAATAAATGGGTTGATTAGCGTTCCAAATAGTTCCAAGTTCTTGATTTTTGGATTCCCGTTATATCTGTTTAGTCTAACAGACAACTACTCGGTATTAAATAAATGGAGATGGTTATGGTCATTAGTAGCTACAATAAGAGTTAGTTATTATGATAGCTCATCGAGTAGTGTCATGTACAATATTTTCAGTTCATTCAGCCTGTTGATCTGGTCATATTCTAACTTTATTTCACCATTGGTCGAATATAAATATAAGGAATTGGTGGCCAGGGCAAGTCCTTACTATTTAGATAGCATAGCAAAATACCAAGGTGATAATAATCGTTCCCAAAGATATTCTGATATTCTAATAAAGTCAAGCTGGTATGACAATTTATTTGACTCTATCATTTGGCCAGTATGTGGTAGTTTATTAGGGAACAAATTGCTAAGGTGTTTCTTATGGTTGCGGAGAAATAAAATAATATCCTGGGATCCTGATATGGCTCCAAATCTATTTTCCATGCTATGCAAGTTGGTTGGATGTGCTGTAGTTGCCATGTCAGCACAAGGTTTAAAATACTATATGTCGTATAAGAGAATGAAAGAATTAAGAGAGCTTCAAAGCAGTATACTTGACACTATGTAATCTAGAGAGGTTCTTGTAAGATTTGGAGTCAAAAATTAAAATGGGTAATGTCATGTTTGAAAATCGTTATTATATAACTAGTTGCTTCTATATTAATGATTAAATTTTGTTATGAATTTGTATATATGTAGATATGTCCTCTTATGAATTAAACTTTAATTATGCTTATTGAAAAAATTAGCTGATAAAAGTTCTAAAAGTTTTGAAGTGGAGAAAGTAATTTTACCATTGAAAAGGTACCATGTACTAACCTTTTTACCAACTTGGGTATTCAACAAATCAAAGAAATCAAAAGTATCAACTAGATGGGAATATCTTTTGGATGGTCCCTTACGCTTATCTGAGATTTGAATACCAAATTTACCGCCATCAGAAGTAAATATTTTGAAATAAATATCTGGAAACTTTGGACCACTTGACCCAAAAACTTTTACAGTTAGTTCACCCAATTTTTCTCCTTCAATATTCTTTACGACACCTTTTTCATATAATTGTTTTGTCGACCATTTGAACTTCAGACCTTGAATATTATCTCCTCCTTTACTATGGACTTTTTTATAAGCATCTTTTAGGTTTCCCAATGCACCTTTATGTACAACAGTATAATCCTTAGAAACTCTGAACTTCTCAATGATATTATTTATCGACCTTTTTAATAGAGTCACATCCGAATTTAACTGTTTGTTAATAGCGGCCAACTCATGAACTGTATATCTGGTAATATCAAGTTCTTCCTCAACACTTTGAGTTATAAATATTGGGAATTTGATGTTGTTTGCTATGTCATTTAAAATGCTTTGCATTTGGTTATCTGCTGGATTTAACATTCCTATATTTTCTAATTCATGTATATTTCTTAGTGCTAACATCTTCAAACTAAAATATAGCGGAGATTCTAGTTTCTTTAAAATTGGATCCTCCTTAATTCTTGGATTATCATTCAATAAAGTGGAAAAGCTTGGCTCGTCTTCATCTAGTACAGTACTTACTGCAAGGTCATATAAATTAGTGTCAACATCTTCAACCTGCATCATATACATAAAAATCCTTTTGACTTGGTCATATATTCTCTTCATCTTATCGTCATTCTGCAAAAAACGGTATGATGCAGGGTTCAATTCCAAAGTAACACGTCCAGTACGAGGAATCGATTTATCATCGGAGCATTGTTTCAGGATATCAACTATCATATCATCTGGTTCTATATACTTCAAATACTCTTGAAATTTATTCGTGATTTGGATTACCTTTTCGGATAAGATCTCTAGTCTAGGTCTTACCGAAAGCATATCTTCATATATTAGTCTTTCACTTTCTTGTTCATACTCTGGTCCAACCATTATTTGCATTAGCATATCCTTTAAATATGGCTTAATTTCTGCTGAATATTGATTTAATGGGTCATAGTACCCTTCAAAATCACGCATTTCAAAGACAGCCTCTAAAGAATGCATTAATATTGCAATCTTTTCCTCAATATTCGAATAATTATTATCGACAAATCCATAGTACCTTCTGTTAACCAAATACTCTTTAACAAGGGTTCCTACAACTATTTTAGATATACATCTTAATGACGATGTTTGATCATAATTTTGATCAGCGGCGAAAGTAAATATTTTTGAACATAAGTATCTTATTTCCACTGGAATAGCTTCAATCCTACTTGTAAAAATTTCTGCAATCATCTCAACAGCGTGCCAAACATTCTTTAGGTTTTCTATGAAATGTATTTTAGTTTGATCATCTTCGATTGCAGAAGATCTATCTGTACATTCGATCCCATGGATTAATCTATAGATGACAGATGGATCACTTGTAAAATCAATGTTTCTATCGTTAATATATTCCAAGATTGGTAAAAAGAGGGAAATTAAGTCGGGATACTCTCTTTGAATAAATAATTTAATCAATTTCTGCCAAAAATGGGTATTATTGTTCATGAAGTTTGTAATAGAGTGTGAATCAACCATATTTTGATGTAACAATTCAGCAACGAATCTTGTAAAACAGACCTTTTCTCTCTCGCCCATTCTTTGGTTGACAATACTAAATGTAACATATACATTATCTTCAGTAAAAAGAGGATCTTTTCTGTATAGTAACTTCCAATAAGTTGGATCTACTTGTAATAAATAAAACAATTTCTCATAACCTGGGTATTTAGAACTTGCGGCATGTACATTGCTCATTTGCTGTTCTAGATTATTTTCGATTTTATATTTGTCTAAGATATCTGAAAAATCTAATTGCTGTCTTAGTTCTGATTCCATTTTTTCTCTTCTCATATTTTCTGAATCTAGTTCGGCTTGTGATTTCTCTAATTCATTCTGTATGTTTTCAATATTTCCAATATTATTTAGTAAGTGAACAAATTTTCTAACTGACCATAGACTTGGATTTGGAGTACTCATGAGCTCTTTATATGCAATTCTTTGATTGAAACAACGTACCCATGATTGAATTTTTATTATGGATTTAGTATTTCCTAGAAAATGTGCTTTTCTCTTATCCAACCTAGAACGAATCATTATGGCCCTTATCCTAGCTTGAAGAACAGATATATGGCTATTTTCAACTACATCATCAACCAAATCTAATGTGTATCTGACTAAAACACCTCTTATGCTAGATTGTAGAGCGATTATGACATCAGAATCTTCATTAATTTGATACATTTGGTAATCCTTACGTGCTCTTGAACCTCTTAGGTAAGTACTTAATTTTAAAATTGTTTCATCATTTTCCAAACATTGTTTATGAGTATTCAGTATCTTGTTTCTAGTCAGATATCCTTTGGATACGGCTTGTAGTCTAGAGACTGAATTTGTACAATCCAAGTTGAAATGATGATTCAATTTAGCAATCTCAGCTCTTTTCAAATTCCCTCTATATACACTTTGGACAAGAGTGATAGCAGACTTGTCAATCAATGAGGATAATGTTGAAGTTTTATAAAATTGTCTGAAAAGAATACCTTTTATGACGGCCTGTAACTTTATTAATGGTTTCGTTACATTATTAATATCCATTAATTCAGCCTGAGCATTCGCTCTTGCTAAGCAGGCACGACACATAGATTGTAGTCCTATTATATCTTTTTCTTGCCTTAATATACGAATCCTTTTTCTATCAATATTTTCACGCAATATGATACCTTTAATAGTTGCTTGTAAGTGTGATAACTCAGATAAACTTATTTCACTTGAATTCATCTTGAATGGTTTATTGAATTTTGATCTCGCTTCATTTCCTCTTACCAAAGACTGGAAGAATATAACTTCCTTCTCATGAAGTTTTGCTAATCTCATCTTAATATTTAAATCAAATCTTAGATTTGCACTACGACAAATGCTCTGGATATCAATAACGTTGTCCAAAAACTCATCTTCAGTCATTTTCTGCCTTCTGTTGGGAGAATAATTTAACTTGGAATAACGAGTAGGAGAGTAACGAGTAGGAGAGTAACGTGTAGGGCTATAACTATGTGTATTATAGAACTGTAATCCTTGTTCCCTGTTTTGACTTCTTCTTAAGTAGAAGTCTGTATCCAAAGTGCTATATCTAGCAATTGATGGTGAATGATACGATAAACTAGATAATTTTAATGGACTATATTCTAAGTTTGGTGTTCTTGTTAAAATATCATAATCGATACTTTTAAAAGGTGATTTATAACTGACTTTGGGTGTCGACTCGTTAAAATTTTCTGCTTTAGTATTATGTGATGGTAATTGAAGATCACTAATGGATGGTGTTAGTTCTCTCTTTATATCTACAGGTTTCTTTTTTTCTGGAGTTTTGTAAATTGTCTCATCTAGAACAGGTTCTTTGTTATTTTGAAATTCATTAAAGTCTTCAATTAATCCAGATTGCACTTTAGTTTTCTTAATGGGAGATGAAGTTGGGCTTACCGCTAACGATTTAAAATCACGGATTCTTGGCCAAGTTCTTTGACATTTCTTTAAATCATCCTTGGTAAAGGTTAATTGGCCAGATAAATTTGTTAAACCTGGAGTTTTTGTTGGCCATTTTTTGTTTATGATAGTAATCATTATGTTCAAGGTTTCGAATACTTGTGGAAGATCTTTTTTGTTGTATAGATCTTGTAGTTCGAATCTAAAAGAATTTGGAACACCTACGTGATCAACCAATGTAAAAAAAGCATTGATATTCTGAGTATGTTTGAACTCTAACTTCTTACCGGCAGGATAGACAGTTGGTACCAGAGATGGGTTAATTTTTTGTGCAACAGTCGCAAGGTATACACCATTCCTCAACGCATCACCAGCACATAACTCGATTTCAGGTTCAATTTCTTGGCCAATAACCTCCTCTATCCAACATTTTACTTCACCTACACGGCAAAGCAGTTCGTAGTACTTTAATTCATCTTTTGACAACGTAGATTTATCGAATTGAGCAGAAGGATTGACGTTAGACGAGTATAAAGGTGGTACTGATTTACTATGTGAATCTATCTTTGTAGTAAATTTAGGAACCTGGGAATCCAATTTTGTTGGTTTTATTGGCGATGATTGGTTACTTTTCAGTAAGTTTAAATTCGATGAAGAATTTAATTTTGAAGGAGAAAGAGGTTTCAATTGTGGGCTGCCTTCATTTTCTAGATTTTGGATATACCTATTAATGAATGAGTTATTAGTCGATCTCGTTGGTGAGTCCGCTATAGCAGACATTTCTTAACAGGATCTTAAAATTGATTCTACCTCTGTCTGGAAATATTTTGTCTTAATATATTAATTCTATTGAATTGTACACTTGATATAAACAATTCAAACACACAAAACCCAAAGATAAAAGACTAAATCAAATTGTTTAAAACTTTCAAGCCTATAGTACTTCTTTTATTTTTATTTTAATTTTTCACTTAATTTAATCTTGTCTTATTAAAGATGATTTTTCTTGATCTTGATGCAAATATTTACATGTTTCCTGTTACGGTTAAATCTTGATTTCGAAAATTTAGAAATTTCAGTCACGTGACATAGTAGAAAGCATGCGGCTGAAATAGTTAGCATCATAGCAATAGCAATGAAGTATAAAAGGTAAAATGTCCTCCACGTTCAAACTTTTATGTACTTCTGTTTTAATTTTAATGTATCTAAGTCACGTAAATCGAAATCTCCAAAAGTGTAACTTGAATCTTTTTCCGTATGAAAGCCTAAGTTGCTAAAATTCTGGACATTTATTAGATCCTTTGAATCAGTATGTATAATACAATCATCGCAATTTTCAATTACTACGTTCTGTGGAGCTTGAGAATTATTTTCAGGCAAATTGAAGTATAATCTACATGAGTTTAAACTATGAAGTCTGACTTGAATTGAATTTGCCGAAGGTAATTTTATTATGATCACTGAATCATTACAATTCTTGAATATTACACTTCCATTCATGAAAGATATAGGGTTCAAATTTATTATTGAATTTTTAATATTTTGAAATGATAAGGCTCCATACTCGATTACATCTGAATTATCTTCGATGAATGCAGCACAATTCAGTAAATTATTTACAAAATTTGAACTTCCATTCAACAGTATATCTTGTCCAACAGAAAAATCTTCATTTTTAACAGGTTCTTCTTGTGGTGATAAAGTTGGTTTGACAATTTTCCTTTCATTTTTCATTTTTGATAATGATAATTTATTTCTAAAGTCAATCTTTCTAGCACCATTACTTTCAAGACGTAATGCGCAGTTAATTTTCTTCAACAATTTATCAATATCGTTAGAATAGCGTTCTGCATCATATTTTGGTATATCAGAACTGGAATCATCCAATTCCTTTCGTAGTGAAATGACTTTTTCCTTCAAAAGATTCTTATCTTTGCATGACTCAAATTCCAATTCTGCTTGTTTTTTTTTGTTCTCAAACTCAATGGAATATCTCAACATCTTATAGTCAAATCAGTCATCCACACACGTCTTCTTACGCCTTCCAAGAGCAGGATATTCACTATTCTTGTTCATCATTTTGATCATGAATAATGGTTAACTTTTATATTTTTGGATTTTTCGAGATGAGCATGGGAACCTAGAAGAAAAAAGATACCACAGTGTGAGAGAGTAGTTACCGTAGAAACCAGAAACTGTAACTAAACCATAATCCAAAGAGATATTAGTTGTATACAGGTTAAAATCAGTTGTAACATTTCTAAATTGACTTGTAGCACTGTAAATATATCTAGGTTCAAGTAAAGATGATTATATAAATCTTGCCAGTGGTGTATATCGATAGGACACTGTACTGTTTATAGTGTAGCTAAATTCGTTGCTAACGATTCTCATCTCTTGTTTTATGGGTACTATGAGAAACACAGAGATACTAACTACCTAACTTCTAAAACTATAGAGATATCAATTCCATCGGTATTAGCTCATATCTCTAAAGACATCTTGTTATAAGTTACAATTCATTTAACCTTTACTGTCATCCATTTAACAGTTCGAAACCTTTTTATATAGCCCTCTATGTCTTGTTACCCTCCTTTCGCTATTATTGAAAAATTATCATGAAAAATTCAGATGAAGTTAACTATTAATGGATAGGTGATGGGATATTACAAACTAGAGCTCATTGAATTGATTTCAAATAGATAATAATCTCGAGTAACTACGCTTTACGAGTAATTACTTGTTTATCTCTTACGTACTGGTTCATAGGTTGGTGATTGTTTTTGTTGGATCGATTTTGGGTTAAAAATAGTCCTTTGAAGGCACACACGATATTAAACAATAGTTAAGAAATAAAGATATAGAGATTGAAGAAAAATTTTAAACAAGAAAGCAATAAAAATGTCAATTCAAACAAGCGATCCAAATGACGTTTCTGAGTCAATCAAGTCTTTGTCTTTGATTGCTGCTCATTCCCATATCACAGGTTTAGGTTTAGATGGGAATTTACAACCTTTGGAATCATCAAATGGTATGGTTGGTCAACTTAAAGCTCGTAGAGCTGCAGGTGTTATTTTAAAGATGGTACAAAATGGTACTATTGCTGGTAGAGCAGTATTAGTTGCAGGTCCTCCATCTACAGGTAAAACGGCTTTGGCAATGGGTCTTTCTAAATCATTGGGTAGCAATGTCCCATTCACTGCTATTGCAAGTTCAGAAATTTTTTCCCTTGAAGTTAGTAAAACTGAAGCTTTAACTCAAGCATTTAGAAAGTCTATTGGTATTAGAATTAAAGAAGAAACAGAATTGATAGAAGGTGAAGTCGTAGAAATCCAAATTGACAGATCTATTACTGGTGGTCACAAACAAGGTAAATTAACAATTAAAACTACTGATATGGAAACCATTTATGAATTAGGTAACAAAATGATTGATGGTTTAACCAAGGAAAAAGTCTTAGCAGGTGATGTCATTTCTATTGACAAAGCCAGTGGTAAGATCACAAAGTTGGGTAGATCATTTGCTAGATCAAGAGATTACGATGCCATGGGTGCTGACACTAAGTTTGTCCAATGTCCAGAAGGTGAATTACAGAAAAGAAAGACTGTCGTCCATACTGTATCGTTGCATGAAATCGATGTGATTAATTCCAGAACACAAGGGTTCTTGGCATTATTTACTGGTGATACTGGTGAAATTCGTTCTGAAGTCAGAGATCAAATCAACACTAAGGTTGCTGAATGGAAAGAAGAAGGCAAAGCGGAAATTGTTCCAGGTGTTTTGTTTATTGATGAAGTGCATATGTTGGATATAGAATGTTTCTCATTCATCAACAGGGCTCTAGAAGATGAATTTGCACCAATCGTCATCATGGCTACCAACCGTGGTATTTCCAAGACAAGAGGTACTAATTATAAATCACCACACGGGTTACCAGCAGATTTGTTGGATAGATCTATCATCATTACCACAGGCAGTTATTCCGAACAAGAGATCAAGACTATTTTGGCTATTCGTGCTCAAGAAGAAGAAGTTGAAGTTGCTGAAGATGCTATGGATCTATTAACCAAGATTGGTACTGAAACCAGTCTGCGTTACAGTAGTAATCTAATATCCACTTCTCAGCAAATAGCTATAAGGAGGAGCGGTGATTCTAGCGCCAAGGTTGAAGTTGCCGATATCAAGAGAGCATACTTATTGTTTTTGGATAGTGGGAGATCTGTGAAGTTTTTGCAAGAGAATAAATCTCAATATATTGATGATGAAGGTAAAGTTGAGATATCAACAGGCAGAGGTGAGGAAGATGTCATGGACACGACAGAGTAAAAAAAATTGCAACGATGACGGTGTATAATTAAATATTGTATAAAATAACTATGTAATAAATTAAATGAAAAAAATATTGCGATTACAAAACAGAGCGTTTATTATATAAAAGAGACTATGTTATATATATGCGTTTGTTCGGATATATATATATATGTGTGTTTGTTCGGATATATATATATATTTGTATATTTGTGTATATGATGTTGGAATGGAACAGAGCCGGGTGTTGAATGATTAATGTTATGTCTTTTTTTATTTTAGTTTATGTCATATTAATTTTGATTTATCTGTTATTATTTTTCGGAACCTTTTGTGTTCAATATCAATGCGACGATCATACCGTAAAGGCCTAAAACTTCTGAAAAGATAAGGATCAGTACGATACCTACAAAAAGTCTTTGTTGGTGCATGAATTTCCTCACACCTATATCTCCCACTATACCGATGGCGTAACCACTGCTTAAACATGCGAACCCCACACATAGACCACAACTCAAATGCATGAAACCGTTGAATAAAGTATAATCTTGGGCAGGATTTAAAGAGCCAGCAATCAATACAGCCACGACCAAACCGTAAATAGCCAAGATACCACTCATGACGACTGGGATCAGAGATTTCATCAATAGTTCTGGTTTGAAAGTACCTATACCTGCGATACCTATACCTGATTTAGCAGTACCTATAGCAGCACCTAAACAAGATAGGATCATTGCGAAAGCACAACCTGCGAAACCAAAGAATGGAGCATATAGAGGAGCATACTCGTTTACCTCTGACATTTGTGAGGGAAGGGAAATTGTGTGGTATTAATGGATTTAGATGATTGTTTGAGTGAAGAAAAGAATGAGATTGAATCAGTTTTAACAATGGGCACCTTTATTTAATCATATATATTAGTAGGTTTAAGTATTAAATTTTTAATATTTTTCAATTTTGATATTCAATTAGTTTCAATTAGCAGCTGTAAGATGAAGGGGAGATTGGATATAATTGATGCGGACAAGGTTCAGGAAGAAAAAAAGAAAAATTGCCGAATGGTGAAAACGCAAAGCGTTTTTCTTGCTGTTTGCTCAAAAGACAAGTGTCGTCAGGTATGACTAACACGTGTATTTCACGTGTTTGGTTGCATTTGATTTGATCTGATCGCTGTTAACGAAAGTATGTGCGTTTTCCCGTAGTAAACAACAAAAACAACAATACAATACAACAAAACAAAACAAAACAAAACAAAATATAGCGAATTTAGAAAAATGAGAGATCAAATTCTTATTATATAAACAGAACAAAACTGTTTATAAAGTGTTGATTTAGACGTAGGTAGTCTGCACTGTTTGGGCAACGAATAGTTTGAAAGACAGTTAGTTGAACTACAGTTGACGAATAGTTCGACAGTTCCAAGATGTCGAGACGGATGGATATGACAGCAGCACAGGTACGCAGCGTGTATGAACAGTTACACATCTCGCTTGACGAAAGAGTGGCACGTGAGTTTGGTATTGGTGATACGGACAGCAGTGAGCAGCAGCAACATCGATATGAGACTGGCGGGAAAGACGACGAGTTGTTGAAGAGCGTGAAGTTTGAAATTGAGCGATATCTTCATAACGTGATTGAGATGAGCGGCAACTCTATCCGGATAGACAGGGGACGCGGAACAGCCGCTGCTACCGCTTCAGCAACTGGAAGAGCATCATCGACCACGACAACTGCTGCCGTTGTGGCCTCCGAATTAGCAACAAGTAATGGGTATATTGAAGAATTTGATACGACACTCAATGAAACAGTTCGTGAGAAATATCAAGAATGGGAAGACCTTACAGTAAAGTTGTCCCAATTGAGAGCACAGGCACCACAAGAGATTAACAACCAATTTACCAACAACAAGATGGGCCTCTACAAACAGATTGACACTGCCCTGGAACAAACACAAAAACAAAAGCAACCACCACAATCAGACCCAAAAACTGTTGGAAATGGTGACGGAACTGCAGGCGTTACTGATGAATGTGAAAATGGAAATGAAAGTGAAGCTGAAAGTGAAATGGTAATTCCAACGAAGAGCGACTATCACGAAATCCTAACGAATGTCGCACACACTGCACAACAATTGCCGTCCCACAGACAGCAGCTCGATTCTCTCCGGGGGCTTGTTGCGTTCCTCGATACTGCGTCCACCACCCGCCACCAAGACCACCACCGATCTTGATCTGCACAGCAATGAAGAAACAAACAAGTACAGAAACGGAAAAATAGGTGCTAATTTTTATGTTTTTTGGGCCTGCGCAACAAACACAGCAGAGACCGAGAGTGACAACGGACAACGATAACGACAGAATAGATAGTAACGTAAGATCATAGCGCACAACCTTTTTTATTCTCTCTCGCTGGTCTTTCCACCACCTCAACAACAACAACAAAAAAGGCAACTAAAACAAAGCTATTCCAGTTTTGGAGAAGCAGATACATATTTGATAATTGATAATTGATAATTGATAATATTCAGACACAGCAGGTGCACAGGGAAGAGGAGAGGAGAGGAGAAGAAAAGATAGGAAAAAGCTAATGTGATTCACATCAACGGCACCTATTCCCGTTCTCTCTGGGGATTGGCCAATTTTTCCATTTCGTTCTGCAGGTTCAGGCTAGCCCGACGCAGCCCAGCCAAGCAAACAGTCCCATAATCAGACAGCAAAAGATAACAACGCAATATCCGTAGCGAAGTCACAAGCTAATCAAAAACCACAATTAGTTTCCCTCGGCCCACTTCACTTTTTCACCAATGATTGCCCAACCCCTCTGCGCCCTTACACCCGTCATCTGACTCTCTTTCGCTAATTCTTTTTTTTTTTTGCCTTCTCTCTGCAGATCGGGCCACGCCACACTTGGACTCGCCCACACATACGTACGTACGTACATACATATATACATTTTGGGCGTTGAGACAAGGCCCAAAACGGAAAACAGAAAGCTCATTTCTTTTTTTTCATAGCATGGTGCCGGTCCACTTGTGCCCGGTTACTAAAGGAGAGTTCCAGACTAAGCCCATTAATGACCTTTTTCCAATCTCTAACTTCGTTTTGGTTGGATTCCGTTGAGTGTTTTTTTTTTCTTTTTAAATAAAAACTTTCCAATAATACTTTGTGGTCTCACTTTTATTTATTTTTTTACTTCCCCTAAAGAACACTGTTACACACTTTTTTTTTGCTTTTGCGTTTTACCTCTTTGCACGCCCTGCCTGCTCCCCCTCTGTTACGCTGTTGTATACCATATTGGGCAATAGCTCCTGGGGACCTCTAGGTCCTTCCCGGTGCAGGATATTTTGCCAAGATCCACCACCGGGATCGTACTCCCCGAAAAGATAAAAAACAATTTTAAATTTTAAATCACTGTTGCTTTTTTTCTTTTTTTGCTTTCATATTACCTCTCTTCTCTCCTCTTGCTCTGCGGAGGACCTTGCTCTGCTCTGCCATAATAATGCTGTCTCTGTCTGCGTGGTTGACGGTAAAGGAAAGAGGAAACTGACCGGTTAACTGACCTCGCCCAAAGAAAACAAGGCAGCCACACGGGGTCTCGAACAACATTTAAAAATTTAAGAATAAAAGATAAAATTACAAGATAAAAAATAAACATTAACCATTAACCATTAACAGACACAATGGTGCATACTTGGGAACTGGTCCAGGTCGCTCATTCTATTCCTCTCCCTCTCCCTCTGGGCCCACCACTGACATCTCCCTCGTGGTGGGTCAACCGAACCCAACCCAACCCACTTCATCTACCCACACAAGGCAAGGCAAGGCAAGACCAGACAAGACAAGACATGACAAAACAAGATTAGACGAGACAACAAAAGAAAAAACCGTTACACACATAAACACCAGTTTTCCACCTCTCCCCTGCGCGCTTGTCACACAACCAGAACAGTCTGACCAAGTCCAAGTCCAAGTCCAAGTCCAAGTCCAAGTCCAAGCCCTCCCAAGCCCAAACCTAAACCCAAATCAAACATCAAAAACTGTTCCAACAAACAAAAAGCAATTTTTTGTTTGTTTGTTGGGAGCGAAGAGAAGACTAGCGAAGAGAGGGAAGAGAGAGAGAGAGCACAGGTTTGCTTTTGCTTTTGCCTTTGGTTCGGGTCCTGCGCGTGTCTCTCGCGGGTGTTTGACCAGAATACTGCACTCGCTGCTGCGTTTGTTTTCGAACATTTGGTATCTCTTTCGGTATGCCCCTCATCGGTGGCTGCCTAGCTAACTCTGTTCGAGAATGAACATAATGATGATTTAGAGGAATATCTCAGTTTCAGTTCATCTCACAAAACCCATCGGAAACACTCACACCTGTTTATCCCACTGAAGTACTAGAGTATAGCGCACTGTTCGCGAACTCAACTCAACTCAACTCAACTCAACCCAACCCAACCCAACCCAGCTCAACTGGAAAGTTAAATAAACCCGAATCGACTTGGATTGAATTGAATCGACTTGAATTGAACTGAATTGAATTGACTGGAAATTCATCTGAACCTTCACCTTTCCAATCCCAATTGTTATATATAAACAAATTGTATTTGTTTATTTCATCTCGGTTCGGTTCGACTCAAACTAAAACTCGTTTACCCACCTCACTTCCCTTTCCCTCTTGTCGCCCTTTTCACACGTACCTACTTTCTTCTTATTCTCTTCTGATCCTCATCCTCATCCTCTTCCTCATCCTGCCTTGAACATTCTTACTTCATTCGAATGCTTTTGAAACTGACTCAAATCGGTCTTTGTTGTTAAGGAAAAAATAAAGGAAGAAATAAAAAGAACCCATATATATATATAGATTACACACAGAGTGAATATATTTCATTATCATTATATATATGTATATGTCTAGGTGTTTCTGTATAGGTATTATATATATAGATTGATCGATAGATAAACACGTCCCCCCCCCAACAATAACAACAATTCCTCATAACCCTAGCTCTTCATCACTCTCATTCGACTGATATTTGTTATATTATTATACCTTATATACCTACCTTTTTTTTTCATATATATTTTTCCATTCCCCCGTCTTTCCATCCAGAGCCTTAATTTTACCTTTTTTTTCACCAACTACTATTACCATTATCTATATACTTCTAGGTACTACATTAGACACTAATTAGGCGTCGCTATTAAATAATGACAAAACCAAAGCTAGCAAGAGGTAATAAGAAAAAATTCAAATGTTCAGGTTTCGGTGACTGCGCAATGGCCTTCACAAGACAGGAACATTTGGCAAGACATCAGAGAAGACATACTGGAGAAAAACCTTTCCAATGTGAGATTTGTTTGAAGTTTTTTTCAAGACATGATAATATGCGCCAACATAGAGATTCTGTACATTCTTCTCAGAATCAATTGACAAAAATAAAAAATACCGTAATTATGCAGAATAATTTACATTGTTTCAAGATTACAAAACATAATAATACAAACGCAACGACAACGAATACGAACACGAATACGAATACGACAACGACAACGACAACGACTGTAAATAACCCAACAGTTACAACGATCAATCAACCAAATGCGATGAACAACGGCAGCAATGGCAACAACAATAACGTTGCATCTCACCCTGCACCTTCATTGATGGAAAGAAAAGATTTCGTCAATTCGTATTACTACGACCAACATCAACCGATTAAATTGCCTCCATTGCTGCTCAATCCTTCTCCAAGGTACAACCCATATCCATATGAAGCAACGCGATTATCATTACCGCCACCTTCATCTTCCTCATCCTCGACCTCATCGTCTTCGTCATCATCATCATCAATTTCAACACAGGGCTATTTGACACCATTGAACGTACCTCCTGTAGTAACGCTGCCCGTCGATGCAAATGTCGTTGTTAAACAGGATATTCAACAAACTCAACAGCCTAACGTTGCACCAGTAGCTACTCATCCTGAAACAGCAGCCAACAACACGTCGGGCTCAAGACTAAGAGTAAGTTACATGTTAACTTAATACAAAACCGACCTGTTATTATACTAAAAAGAAAAATTAACGTCAACGGATTTAATCTATCATTTACTATTACGATATTATAATTCAAATGCCCAGCTAAGGCAAGGATTTTTTTTTTATTCACGATTTAAAACGAACGTTTGCCAGATTTTTATCGACTGTAACATTATTATTATTATTATTATTAATTATCCCCCCTCCCCTCTATCTATCGATCAATGGCATTTCAAGCGAAAGCTTAATGGATTGAATTCGACTTATTTGCATTTCATCATTTTTATATTGTTATTATTATTATATTATTATTATTATTATTATTTTAAATAGTTTTATCTTAGCTATCGCAGTTTTATATTATTATTCTTAGCTTAATTATTCATTATTCATCATCATTATAAACCCATGTCTGTCTTCTTCAACTTGGCCATTTCCATTAAGTCTTCTTGCAATGTCATCATCTCTATAGATCTAATGTAACTTTGAACGAACATGTCATAACCACTTCGCCTTCTAATTTAAACTTGATTTTAAATTTAAAACCTTTAATATTTACTTGTACATATCAACAACAAACTACAAAGTCATTAAACTGATCAACAGAGAACTAGTGGGGTCCTATAAACGGTTTTAGGGTTGATTTGTTTAATATCAAGGAGAAACCCACAAGGTTTATTGTGATTACAGAAATGACTGATCAGGTGGAAAGAAAAAAATCGTATAGATGGGCTTCGGCGTCTCAGGCTTCTTACGACGGTGCTGGATGGGACAGTAGTGATGAGATTGATTCCCATGATGAAGAATTGAAAAATCTACCTACTTTGCCAAAACTCGACTACACTAAAAATGACGAGGTCTTAAATTCGGTCCCTGAAAATACTAATGATCCAATTTCATCAAACGTAGTTCAGGAACAAATTCAGCCACAAGTTCCTGAACTCGTTCCCAGTTTTTTAAAGTCTCAACAGTTGAAGAGAACTCCTACTAATAAGACAGTTAATGATGATTTGGACAATCTGATGGAGCAGATATCAAAGGAAATGACTCCAGTATTACCTCAAGGTCGTAATTTCGAAGAACTTGATGATAGAGTAAGTGATAAAGAACTTGATAATGAAAGTGATAATCACGTCCCAAGAGAATACTTCCAGAAAAGTATGGGTTATTTCGATGAAAGTTTGGGCTACTCGGAAGGTGATGATGAAAATACAAATAAAGATCAGAATGATGACGATATGGCTATGGATCAAGATGAAGAAGAAGAATTTAAGGTATCTAAAAATGGCTACTTTTCGAAATTTATAGAAAATGAGAATGAATCCAAAAATACAGAGAATAAGCAAGAAATAGACTCAGAGGTGGATGTGCCTAAAGCAGAATCTGTCAGTTCGAATTCTGAGTCTAGATCTCAGTTACAAAAACAAGATAATGAAAGCAAATTATCATTGATTGATAATTATAGTGATATTCCCGATTCTATCCCAGAAAATGAAACCAAAGAAGAACACCCAGTTGAAATGGAAGCCGTAGAATCAACCGATGACACCGGTGTAGATATTGATGAGTTGTCCTATACAGAATCTATTACAAATTCAATTAACAACATGTCATTGACGAATGAAGAATTCCAAACACCAGAAGAATCTGAAGAAGAGAAATCGCAGATTGAGGAATCCCAAGCTCAAGATCAAAATTCTGCAGAATCATCTCTAGGGAAAGATTCTATAACGACGACTCACACTGGTAATAAATCCAATGATACATTATCTATTGCATCTTCTAAAGATACAGAACCCGAGGATGAAGAAAATGTATTGGTAGAAAACGAAAAAGATGAACCTGTACAAGAAGATCCAGATATATCGATGGAGAAAGCAAACAACACAACTATGAATGATACATCTATTAATGCTGAAGATGAAGTTGACGAGCACGATAATAGCCGAGATTCAACTGAATCGGGAGAATGGAGACCAAATACAGATGCATTTAGATCGGGTTTCGTTCAGGAAACTGATAATAAACCGCCAGAAGGTTACGTTGTAGATTCAGAGGGTCAACTTGTAGACCTAATGCCGTCAAATTTAAAACAACGAGCTGCATCGACTTATACCGCTGGAAACGAAAGTGTATGGCAAGGTTTTCCAAGTAATTCGGACTCGACCAATAATCAAGATAATTCCGGTGCTCCCGAAGGCTACGTTTATGATGAAGATGGTAAGTTGGTAAACCTAACTCCTTCTGCAATGAAAAGTAGCGCTATCTCAACATACACAGCGGGAAATGCAAGCATGTGGGAAGCTTTTCCATCTGATGGTACCGCAGATATAGAGACAATTAGAGATACAAAGACTATTTATGATAATAATACTTTGTTTAACGTTCCTGGTGTGATATCAAACAATACCTCCTTACCACCTCTTCCAGATAATGCAGCGGCTGCAACTGCGTCTGCCGCTGTAAGAGGTTTAAATTCTTCCTCGACATTATCAACAATTCCTTTAGGTTTAACGCCAATTGGTAGTGTAGGAGATATCTCTAAATTAAAAGAGAAAAATCCAATACCACAACTAGATTTAAATCAAGTCATAGGCGGGAAAAGGTCGAATGCTGCTAAATTGGAAGAGCTAAGAAATTATAGAAATAGCTTGGAAGAATACGATACAGGTGTTAAAATATGGATATCACATTCATTAAAGTCTTCGAACTCTTCGGATTCTAATTTTATATTTGAAGAATATAAAGTGAGTAAACATGTTAAACATGCATATGCTAATGCGGATGAATTAAGCAAAAAAAGTACTGTTATTAATACAGTGGATACTGTAACACAAAACGTTAGCCATTTGAAAAAGAAGGTATTCTCACATTCTATAAAATCAAAGGGTTTATTTGCATCTATTGGGAAAAAGAAATTGTAAGAATTTAATAACCAAGTTCCGATTGTATTCTAAAGAAATGCAATTATTTATATTACATATATTTACATATATATTGTCCATAAAAAATTCTTATATATGGAAATAAGTTTGAAGTGCATGAGTTGAAAATTAAATAATTATTAAATGTGTTTAAGACCAGATCTCGTTAAACTTTCTTAGCACCACTGGTACGTAAAACAAATTCAAAAGCCGCTAGAGCCGCTGCATTTGTTGGGAATGATCTTAAGAAACTTGGCATGAACCCTTTGAAAAACCCTTTATAACCTCTTTGAATATATATATCTTTTGCTGCTTGTTTCCAAGACTTGAAACTTCCATCATATTTATCATTGCATAGGACTACTTGCTTTATCACATCACTAGGATAAGCTGTTGTCCAAAATCCCAGTGATGCACTTAAACCTCCAGCCCAAAAATTTATTGCAGGGTCACTTAACTTGGTATTTTTTTTAAACCATTGAGTGAACAATTCATAAGACCCCCACCAATAAATGAAATGAGTTCTAAAAATAAGTGTACTCACTAAACCTTTATACAGACCTTTGATCCCATTAGTAGCGTAGACTTTTCTTATCACATCAATTGGACCCTTATATTTCGTAGTGGTAGCATCATATTGAACTTGTAATTTGGCTTTAGCCAATTCGACAGGAGCAGCAACAAAACTAACAGTCCAACCTGACATGACACCACTAATTACACAACCTGATAACGGTAGTTTTTCATAAGTTGGATAAAAATATTTGCTTAAGAACATTCTATAATTATGCAAGCTTCCAAGCAAAACTGAATCCATAATGATCCAACCAACTAAAGGGGGAGTGAACCCTAAATAGAATCCACGGACACCTTGTTGTTGCATTGTCTTGTAGACACAATCCATGGGGCCTTTAAATCTTCCTGTACCTTGTGAGGTTTGTAATCTAACTTTTATCGTATCGAATGGATGGCCAACAGTATTCTTAGCTACACCTGAGCACATACCGGCAATGAATCCCATGACCCTAGAGTATAATTCACCATCATTGACCTTGTTTTGGTTGGTCATTGTTTGGTTACTCCTATTTGAATTGGTCATATTCAAATCACTTTAAAGTAAGAGTACCTGTCTGAATAAAAAAAATCTGTAATAGGAGAGGTTCTTAATTGGCAAGCACCTATACTGTCTAAACTTAAATTACCTTGACGCTTATCCGATAGGAGGCTCTGATATGTGTTTAGATCAAGCAAACCTAGTTTATTGTCAAGTTATATATATATATTCTTTCAAGTGTTTCTGAAGTCAGATGGAAGACAGCCAGAGTAAAGAAGATGCATCGGAAAATGAAATGGTAAGGTAATTGAAACAAACGATGGTTAATAGCACCATTGATAGGTAAGAAACTTTGTATCCGACAGATTAAAAAATCTCATGGATAAATGACTCAATAGTCTTATAGATATAGCTGAATTTGGGTTTCCAAGTACTTGAACAGGAGAAGATATGAGAAGCAATGTTCAAGAAGGAACTCAAATTCTGTATGAAGAACTGATCTAGATAATGCGATGACGTAAGAGACAAAGAAATGTCAATATCAATCAGATCAATGTCACATCTCATGATAAGATCAATCGGTTCCCACAATACCCATCAAGTAGACTAGAACCTGCCTGTCAAAGATCAAAGATGCAAATAGAAATATTGAGTCATACTTCAACTCAATCTCTTTATCCTATCTTGCACAATCGGTATGGTATGTATCTCGACCCTGAAGAGTAATTAAATGAAATCAATCATAAAAAAGCCCCAATATCCATTAGATAAATTAAATAATCAAGAATCGATGTCGTCATTGCCATTGTTGTAGTCTTTGTAATGTTCATCTTCAGCCAGTTTTTTGGTTGGCTGCCTTTAAATATCACGATATTTGAAAAATTGTTATTACCGGGGGGCCATACAGCAAGGAAGGGTCAAAGTTTCGAAATGAAGATGGTAAGTGAAAAATTATTGATCAGATTAAGCATCTCAGGAATGGATAGTTTTATTTAAAAGAGCATGTATTATATTTAATTGCTTTTGAAATAGAGGGGTTGGGTTGGTATTGATACATCTAGAGAGTGGTAGTCGTTAATTTCCTAGTTTTTTGCAGTGACTTTCGAAAGGTTTTACAGATGTTACGTTTTGGTGCTAGTAGAAATATTTTATTAAGACGCCTTTCATTTAGAAAATTTGGTACATCTTTGAGATTATTTGATGCCAATGCGTTTGCAATGCCTGCAATGTCTCCAACTATGGAGAAAGGTGGTATTGTTCAGTGGAAGTTTAAGGTTGGTGAACCTTTTTCAGCTGGTGATGTTCTACTAGAGGTCGAAACGGATAAGGCTCAGATTGATGTCGAGGCTCAAGACGATGGTAAAATTGCCAAAATTATCATTGGTGATGGTGCAAAAGATGTTCCTGTTGGTGATACTATTGCTTTTCTTGCAGAAGTAGACGACGATTTGTCTACTTTGAAAATACCAGATGTTACTGCCGCACCAAAAAAGGATGCGGCACCTAAGACAGAACCTCTTTCTAAACCTATTTCCAAGCCTGTGGAAAACCCAACTGAGGTGAGGTCCAATGAAACTGTATCTAGTGCCGCAACTAAGAGTGCTGATATGAAGCAAGTTCTTTTACCTTCTGTGGCGATCGAGTTGTCCTTGAATGGGATAAAGAAAGAAGATGCACTAAAAAATATTAAAGCTACTGGTACCAAGGGTAGATTATTAAAAGGAGATGTTCTAGCATACGTGGGTAAAATCAACAAGGACTCACCTTCTAAAATAGCATCTTACATTGAAAAGGGTGAAAAGTTAGACTTAAGTAATATAGAATTGAGAGAACCAGCTGTTCAAGAAACTAAAGAATCTACAAGTAAGGAATCTACAAAAATGGTGAAAGAACCAATTATCCTAAATGAATATATAGCTTTGCGTGCGAAACCTGGTGCTTCTCTAGAAAAGCTGGAATTGGCATTAGGACAATATTTAGATTCTATGTTTCAAAAAGCTCATAATGATACTTTAGTCGACACCCGTTCTCAATTTTATGACCCTATATTCGAAGATTTATTATCAATTGAATCTAACAAGCCAAGATTTACTCTCTCTTACGAGCTAATAGAATTAGAAAATGAAGATATACCAAGTAGAAGAAGCAGAGCTTCTGAAGCTGATATTTTTGATTTATTGTCTAATGAAACTCCTGCTTCACAGGTAAATGAAAAGAGTAATAATAATGCAACTGAATTTGTTGTGTCTTTAAGGGTAGAAGTGAATGACAAGTACCCAGACTCCATGGAAAGAGCTCAAAAATTTGTCTCTTATATGAAACAATTGCAATTATGATTATATTCTTATAGCCGGATTTATTTTTTTAAAGATTCCATATTGACTTTGTATCTACATGTATATACATTAAGTTAAAACACATTTAAAAATTGTCGACATTAAAATGCAATCTTATATAAATCTAACTCAAACTTCAAAAGGAGATAAAACCATTATCTTCCAAAAATAAAACAACTTTTTGTATGACATGATGAATTGAGTCAGCATTATTACCAAGAGTAATTGAATCTTCTGGGGAATGGCCAATAGTGAAAAAATTTTGAGGTTTGGAGAATTCTTTATTTAGTTCATCTGTGATGAGCAAACCTGTACCAGATTGGATGAAGTCATTGATTAATGATGCGTAATCCGAATCGTTTTTATGTTTGAAAATCTTATAATGTCTATGGCCTGAAAACTGTAAGAAAGTTGATAACAATGCAATTGATAATTGATTTAAACTTAATTTCAAATCATTCTTTAATAGTAATGCAAAACCTTGTTTGGATCTTGGTGGATTTGATTCTCTTAAGATTTTTACCACTTCTGGATAGGAAAACCATTCTGGAATTTCACCACCATCTCTTAGACGTTTTCTTAGTTCAGTACCTGAGATGTTTAGAGTTTTAACTTTTGTAGTATCTATTTCATCAATTGGTGCATAACGGTCTTCATCGGGTAAATATGTGACCATTCTAAAAGGCACCACTTCGATATTTAATTCATTTTTGTATGATTCCACCAATAATTGAGCATCGTATGGTCCATAAAAGTCCACACCTTTTGAGTTTTTACCAGGACCAGCATGATCTCTACCAACAATAAAATGTGTTGCACCATAATTTTTTCTAATAATGGCATGCCAAACAGCTTCTCTGTCACCAGCCATTCTCATTGCTAAAGGTAATAAAGAAAGGTCGGCTAAACCACTTGGATATCTTTTAACAATTTCTTGATACACCCTGACACGAGTATGATGATCTATATCACCAGGTTTGGTTAAGCCCACGACAGGGTGAATTAATATTTTTGCATTAGCTTCTCTTGCAGCCCTGACAGTTAATTCCCTATGAGCCCTATGCATTGGGTTTCTAGTCTGGAAAGCCACGACACGATCCCATTGTCTTGAATTAAAGTCGGATCTCAATTGAGAAGGAGTCTTGCGGAAACCTAAATAATCGTAGTGAACAGGTAATTGGATGGCTTCAATTTCACCACCGATATAGTAATCTCCAGCTTTATTGAATAAATAATCAATTGCAGGATGTTCTGGATCACCTCTGAATACCTTTTCAGCTTCAATTTTTTTATCAGGTTTATAAATATCATCAACAGTTAAAATTGCAATTGGTATTTCATTATCTTGTAATAATAACAATTTATCATTTTTAGATAAATTTTCTGCGAAGGATTTATTGACATCTAGAGTAATAGGAATTGTCCAAAGAATACCATTTGGTAATCTTGAGTTTTCTACAACTGAATTATAACTTGATTGGTTTAAGAAACCTGATAATGGTGAGAACCCACCATTGATAATTAATTCAATGTCACAAATTTGTCTATCTGACAAATTCCAAATTTTGTTTGAATCAATAGACTTAGATAATTGCAACAATTGATCCCTTTTATTAGAGTCTCTTGCTAATAGATCTTTTAGTTCACCACCATGTGGTTCTGGCATGTTTATAATAATAATATTTAAGTGTATGTATAAGTTAAGTTACGTGAAGTAGTAACTTTTTAGGTACAGAGGTATAACCTTCTTGGTGGTGTTGTTGTTTTGTTATACTAATTGTAGTTGAAGGAATATACTTTAAGATTATAAGAATTGAGTCAACTTGAAAAATAATTAATCAATTGGTATGATTTATATATGATTAAATAAGAATTGTGGCTCTGATTCATGTTGAAACGAAAAAACTTTTTAAGCCAATGTCATTCATCGTATATGTGAAACTCATACCTTATGATTACCACACATTTTAAAACATTTGACTAAGGGATGTATGTGTTGTAATAGAGGTTGGATGTCAGATATATCAACAATTACTCTATGTTGAAAATGTTACGATTATACATAATATAATAATATCACATGAAATGATTGTTCCGGGTAACTTCGTTAAAGTGTCAATATCAGTGTCAGTGTCAGCAATACATAAACTTTTGTATTATTTATGATTAGTTTATGAAATTAGTCATTGAGAAAATTTAACCAATTGATATTAAAAGGAATAAGTTGTTACTAAATATTAAACATTTGAAATCAAAACCGGGTAAACTAATATATCTATATATATATACATATACATCCGGGTAACACATGTGGGAGTCTGATTCGTGGAAGATCTGAGATAGAAAAATTCGAGATAATGGGAAGTCCCCCGACTGGGATATGTCTCAAGACGAAAAAAAAAGAAAGAAAGAAAGAAAAAGAGAGAGAGAGAACCTGCTGAGAAACAGAAACACGAAGCCGGTTGCGTCATGCCGTCGAACACAGGAAGCCAGCTTCCTGTTTTTGCCATCACAAGAAACACACACTGCCTCCTGGCTTTTCCTCCATTTTTTGTTCCGAGTCAGAACCATACGTACAAGAACCGATATCAATTTTCGATTTCCATTCGAATCGCTCTTTGTCTCTTTTCTTTTTACTACTTCCTAATTTGTCTCTCTCTCCTTCCTCTCTCCCGGTGTTTCTCTGGTTTTGGGTTTGCTTTTTGGTGCTAGTAACGAGACAAGACAAGACAAGACAAAACCAGAGCACTGGAATAAGAACGATCGTTAACGCCAAACTACACCTATCGCTATTGGGATGCTAAGAATGTTTAAAAAAAGTTTGGTATTTTATGCCCATTTGGCCCTGGCTATCATCAGTGGTCTCTTCAAGAGTTTGGGAAGTTGCTATCCCAAAGGACAAGGCAACGTAACATAACATAACATAACATAACATAACGTAATGGGACGCAACGTTTTTGAGACAATTAAATTTACTAGAACTTTGTTGAAGCCCACTTACAATACGATTGGATTGGATTGGATTGAAGGTTATTTTAATTTGTATTGTTGAATGGTGTGTGTATGTTGTTGCATTCTTAAAAACAGGTAGATGGATGGATAAAGATATCTCTTCCAATGGCACACAAGTCAAGGTCATAACACCAGTACCTTCAAGATCAATGGAACAACGAATAATGTCAGTTGAGGGAAAATAATTGAATTCAAGAAAAATAAGAAGTTATTAACCAAACAAACGTTTACTAGCTAATATTCTGTGCTATATAATATAAGCAAATTGAAGACACCGCTACTCTGTTGCTGTGTGCATTACGAGAGTGAGCGGTGGTGCATACGTGATACGGAAGAATAAAGAAAATGATGTATACTTTAATTTACTCTACCTGTATCGAAACGGTATTCAATAAGAGTTATCCACTCGTGGGTAACAAATATAAATTTCATTTTCCCTTTCTCCCTTATCTGTACACCTACATACACCCTAATCAAAATCAAAATCAATTGCAAATTCAAATTCAATTGCAAAAGATCAAAAAACGAATAAGTTTACCATCCTATCGTATTCACCTTGCCTCAATTCTCTAACGTTCTGATCTATTCTTACTTGTCTTTTGAGTCCCGGTTGGAAACCATTACCTTAATGGAAACCTAAAATGTAATAAAATAAAACGGTTTGTAGCTCAGTCCCCGTTAACAATCTAGTGTACAACCAAGATTTCGAAATCAAATTCGAATTCGAAATGAGTTGGGAAAAGACGAAATGGCATAATTCAACTAAAAAAAACTCGTTTGGATAGTTGCTGCTACTACTGCTGCTGCTACTGATGCTACTTCTGCATCATGGGACAAGAAATATACTAGTTTGGTTACTAAACCACATTGACTGATTTGTATCACTTCTAATACTAGTTTGAATCAAAATTTAAAGGTTTAAATTAACTTCTCAACCACTTCCTCTCTCTTCTGACATTATTGTTTCTACTTCTGCTTTTTGCAGATAATAACATTTTTTTTTTGGCTTTTTTCTTTGTAGAGGAATTATCATTATTCAATTACAAGATAACTTGATGATGATGATGATGATATATTTCAAAATTATTCGTTAAATTAGAAGTAGTTAGTTGTTAGGTACGTTTATTTTTAATGGTTTGCTACTTGAATCTATATAGTTTTCTAGAATATTTTTAGTTGCTGAACTTATTCGATGGTTTACTAGTGATGGTACGCTTCTAGGTAATTTATTCTGCATTTTCTTCTCAAATAAAACACATAATTTTTTTTTTCCTTTGAATGAATTATTAAAATATCTCTCAGCTATGTTTAGAGAAGTAGCTGATAGTTATCTACTAAATTGCTTAAGAATCCTAGCTTCGTAATTTTAATTTATGTTTTTTTTTTCTAAACTTGATTGATTGTCAATTGGCATTCAATTACGCAGACACTCAGAGCTCTCTCTCTCTCATGCTAATTCAATTATTATTTTTTTCCACTCTCTTTTACATTTACATTTCCATTTTTATATTTTTGGATTATAATTTTTATTATATAAAGGACTTGTTATTTTCTATTTCTAAGGATTTAGTATTTTATTATTTTCAATTAAACTCTATTCTAATTATCTCTCTCTTGTTCATCCTAAATCCCCAAGGAACAACAGTTTCACACAACAACACAAAACAATAATTCAAAATGGTCAGAGTTGCTATTAACGGTTTCGGTAGAATCGGTAGATTAGTTATGAGAATTGCTATGCAAAGAAAGGACGTTGAAGTCGTTGCTATCAACGATCCATTCATCGGTGTTGACTACGCTGCTTACATGTTCAAGTACGACTCTACTCACGGTAGATACGCTGGTGAAGTCACCCACGATGGTCAAAACATTGTTGTTGACGGTCACAAGATCGAAATTCACCAAGAAAGAGACCCAGCTAACTTGCCATGGGGTAAGTTGAACATCGACATTGCTATCGACTCCACTGGTGTCTTCAAGGAATTGGACACTGCTCAAAAGCACATTGACGCTGGTGCCAAGAAGTGTGTTATCACTGCTCCATCTGCCACCGCCCCAATGTTCGTCATGGGTGTTAACGAAGACAAATACACTTCCGACTTGAAGATTGTTTCCAACGCTTCTTGTACCACCAACTGTTTGGCTCCATTAGCTAAGGTTATCAACGACAACTTCGGTATCAAGGAAGGTTTGATGACCACTGTCCACGCTACCACTGCTACCCAAAAGACCGTCGATGGTCCATCCCACAAGGACTGGAGAGGTGGTAGAACTGCTTCTGCTAACATCATCCCATCCTCCACCGGTGCTGCTAAGGCTGTCGGTAAGGTCTTACCAGAATTGCAAGGTAAGTTGACCGGTATGGCTTTCAGAGTCCCAACCGTCGATGTCTCCGTTGTTGACTTGACCGTTAACTTGGCCAAGGAAACCACTTACGATGAAATCAAGAAGACCATCAAGGCTGCTTCTGAAGGTAAGTTGAAGGGTATCTTGGGTTACACTGAAGACTTGGTTGTTTCCTCTGACTTCTTGGGTGACTCTCACTCTTCCATCTTCGATGCCGATGCTGGTATCCAATTGACCCCAACCTTCGTCAAGTTGGTCTCCTGGTACGATAACGAATACGGTTACTCTACCAGAGTTGTCGACTTGGTTGAACACGTTGCCAGAGCTTAAATTACTTCCCTAACTAACGAGTAGTTTTTATAAGTTTTTAAACATTTAATTTTATAGTTTTAATGAATGACATGTGTTCCTCACTTTAATTTAAATCAAATTTAAATTTAAGCATAGAACCACTTCTGAAAATTTAACTAGATCAAGATTAACTAATTGATCTATTTTTTTATGGTGTTGCACAATTAGTAGTGCATTCGAGTAAATCGATAAGATATTATTCATTGTACTTTTTTATCTTTACGGATATACGAGTACAATATGGGTCTAATCAATGTATGGCGCTAGAGAGAACATTTCGAACCAACGTTTTTTCAATACCACGTGATTATAATAATTTTTAAAAAAGTTACGTAATTAAAGGAAGAGTATATAAGAGAAATCTAAAAAAGGGTATCAAAGATTACGTACCAAAGGAAATATTACAAGAATTTTGTTGGGCTAAATTTATGTTAAATTTAGTGAATAAATAAAATAGATATGTATTATTTTAATTTCTAGTAACTTTTTTTATTTTATTATCTGTTTAATTCCTTAATTGCTAACTCTAACCTAAGTTTGGGACATTAAAATAGATTAGTTAAAAAATATTAAGAATAATGGTAATTACGTAAAATAAAAAAGGAGAAGAAATAATTATGGAACAAATGTACATCCCATCAAATAATCGCATAACCAGATGCATAACTTACGCTACTATCATTAACATTTTCAACTTGTGATGTTTGCGAATATTTTGGCCATTCAAAACGAATTCTTTCAGGGTATTTCTCTAACTCAATTACTTTTAAAATCAATTGAATAGGTTTTGCTCCACATATCGTATTTCCTGTCAATTCTAAATACTGTTTCCAATCTTTATATTTTTCAGGATTCTCACTTTTATCCAATAAATCCATTGCGTATTCATCGAGAAATTTTATTGATTCCCAAATTGGTACTCTGTGGCGAGGTAGTTTACTTCTTGAAGTCAGCATCTCTATTTCAACCTCATCATTTATCGAATCTTGTAATTCTTCTGGACTTCCAACATAACCAGTAAATCTAAATCTGCGACCCCAATGGCAGAAATCACTACTAATGATAAATAAATTTTTTGGATCCCTAAATTTTTTAAGAATAAATTCTGCAATCTTTGTATCAATATCTTCTGTATTATGCGATACCATCATTGGAATCACTTTAATTTTGTCTAATGATAATTTTCTCCATTGTATAGTTTTGACCAGCATTGGAAATTGCATTTCTAAAGAATGTTCACTTATATCAGTTTCCATATCCATATATGCAAACAAACTATTATTAGAATTTATTAACATTTCACAGTAAGCGGTATCAACATTTAAATCACCCAGTGGTGTAGATAAGGTTTCAAAAGCTGATAAAAATATCTGATTTCTAAAATATACATTATGCGATGGACCTAAAATGAATATTCTTTCAATATTCTCATTTAAATCTAAAGAAGCATACGAATGGGCCATCGTACTACCACAGTATTTATATCCTGCATGTGGTGAAATAATTAACCTTGCATCTTTCTTCAATTCAGCAGAAGAAGAAGCACCATTTAAATAACCTTGCAATTGATCACTTAGTTCATCTGGTTTATCAGAGTACCAAGAACTTGAATGTGATGCTGGACGTGACGTCATACTTAAAAAGACTTTTAATGTTAACTATTATCTTTTTAAACTGCTAGTAGGTAATAGTACAATATAATATAAAATACAATTAAACAGTTTGCTATCCTATTTATCGAGTATAAAACAATTAAACAACTAAATCTTTCCGAATCTTTAAAAAAAACTATTCAAGTCAAGTAAATTGTCGTTTCCTCCCCTTTAAACAAATAACTTTCGATCCTTTATATATATATATATATATATATAACAACCAAATACTTAAATAAAATAAGATAAAATAAAATATTCAAATATTTTTTAACATAGTTAAACATAAAAGGTCCAATAAATATAGAAGAACAAAAGAAAATACGAATCCACCCACCCAGTAAAAGAACGCAAACCTCAGAAGATGTAACAACCAAAATTACCAAAGCTCCTTTTTTTAAAATAGCTAGCTATATTTTATCATAATAACATAACATAATATAACATAATATAACATAATATAACATAACCCAACCAAACCCAATGGAAAAAAAAACTAACAGTTAAATAATCCATTATTCACAAGAGGTAAGATATTTTCCAAGAGGTTTCGATATTCCAAGAGCAGTGATAGTAGTCAACGATTGCAGCGTAGTGTAAAAAAAAATGTAATGTAAATTCCACTTTTTGATTTAAACTTAACGTTTGAAATGTCAACTAACAAGAGTATATATGTAATCAAATCACCCTTTAAGATTGAAAGAGTAATTTAGGATTGATGATTGCAGTTTTTCCCTTAATCCTCATAGCAAGTTCGGTTCCTAGTGAGTGCATTATATTTAATTGCTAATTAAATAACTAAAACGGATCAGTTGGAATTGAGGAGGATGAGAGAGTAGTTGTAGTGATTTCATTTCAATAAGGAAAGATAAGATGATGAAGATTTCTGGTTCAAGTGGCTTTTGAATTATTCGTCTTGCTTGAAATAACTATACCTGTGGGGGGCAGGGCCATTGTATAATATAATATATACAACGAGAATGGGGTAAAATCGAACTGACGTTGTAAGTGTTAGTGATATGTGTAACAACGAATATTGGAAAAGTGCTACAACACTTGGAGCATAATAGTTCTTGTCACTATGTGAAAAATAAAACAAAAATTAATTAGTTTTACTTGGTATTAAATCAAGAAATTGTGTTTTAACTTAGATGGCTAATTGAATATGATTTAGTTGACTAGAGTTTTATTTGGGTCAATTAATTTTCAGTTGCCATTTTTAGTTAACGATGTCAAGGTAACAGTGAACAATATCTAGGGTAGTATAATCGATCTTTACATGTATGCATTTTTTTTTGAAGAAAATGAGTTTATGAAGGAAACGTTAGTTAGAGAGTAATAGATGAACTAAGTTGTACAATTTGAATTGGTTGATTATTATGTATTTAGTACCCATGAATGCAGATGCTGTTTTAAAAATATTAATCCATCAAATTGGTTGGCTGTTCGATGAAAATTTACAACATTTGGAATAGTGTTTAGGGGTTTCGGCATCTTAATCCGGTATCCGAAATCAGGGAAAGGACTGGCCTATAAGATACGATGCTGTTTCAACATTACAATCTATAAGTAGGAATGTCAATTGACTGGGAGTTGTTTAAATACTGTTAGAAGTCAAATTTATTGTCACATTGCTAACTATTTCGGTCTCGGTATGTACATGACACAACTTCAAGCATATTTAATACTGAAGTTTTGTTGAAATAGAGAGTTCCAATAACATTTGAATAAGTCCCATTGTGGGTTCTCAAATTATAATCCAGTAATTTCATTTAAGAGCAATGTAAGAATAGGCTTGTGCTGGTTGACTTTTGATGTTTTTTTTGATACATTGTTCACAAAGACCATCCTTACGTGACGACAGCACTCAGAAATGAGACTAATCTGCTATATCAAAAGAGAATTGTAGTTCGAGCAAATACTATTAATGAAATTTTGTTAAAGACAACCACCGTAATATAATTTTACTTTTTAAAGCATTGGATACTTGAAGTATTTGTAATGTATCGAGAATTTTTAAGGTTTTGCACATGACTAAATAAAAACAATATATAAAACTTGTAAAGTTCAAATTTCAACAAATAAGATGAAGCGGTGGCTCAATGGTAGAGCTTTCGACTCCAGTTAAATCCTGGGATTCCTCGGAATACAATTGCAATCGAAGGGTTGCAGGTTCAATTCCTGTCCGTTTCATTTAATTTTTTTGTTTTTCTATCTATTTTTTATTTTCTTGATTGGCAAATCGTGATGAATGATATAAGTTTCTTGGAATGTAAAGCTTAACATAAACATTACCAGTTCAATGAGTGAGATGAATTTCACTATTTACTATTTACTATTTACTTCATAAGCCTGATGATGAGTAGAATAGCCGACACTAGCTACATAAAAGGGAACCAACAATTCAGACTAGCCACGATAAACAAACTAGCAATTGAGGTGATTACCGTATTTATTTCAACATCTGAGAGATCTTTGAGTGCTGTGTATGAACTCTACGTCTTTATTTGAGCTCATACCCTTTACATAGTCTTGCGTAGATTAATCCATATCATCGAAGTCAGATATCTCCTCATGACTGGACCGTTTCAACAGAACCACGTATATAATGTTGGCGGTGACATCTGGCAATTACTGACATCTGTGAAAAAGTACACATAGATTTAATAATAAAAGAAAAAGGACAAGCAATTGAATCATCAAAGCAACTCCAACTTAAGAGCATTTAATTAATCCTTGTCATGTCATTCACATCTACGTAATACTGCCAACTACAAAGGCATGAATCCAAAATATTAATCTCGAATATGCAAGTAAAGCATTCAAAGAAAGAGTAACTTGTCTCAAACTGACTGTGCGCAGCTTCAACCAAGTTCTTGGGTCTCACATGTGCTCTCCCGCCAGCCCGCCCCTCCCTCCCTCCCTGCAGTCCTGAACCCCTGCCAAGTCAATCAATTTTTAACATCCCCATTCTATAACCAGCATTGGAACTAAACCTGAGTATACGAACCAGCCCAGCCTTTAAATCAAAACATCGCTTTCTCAACCACTACTATTCCTACTACCACTACTCCTCCTCCCCCTCCCTTTCTGTAGGTAACCGAGACCAACGGAACCAGCATTAGCCCCCAAAATATAAACAACAGACCACACACGTGACCTGTACCATTTTTCCCTCTCGAACGACACTTACCCGCATTAAAAATAAAACACACACAGAACAAGCGCGTTTATTCCCAGTTCCCCTTTGGCTCTGCTGCACATGTTTCTGAGGAGAACTGACACACGACGCGAACATTTCGAAAACACAAAAACACAACAACCCAAAATTTTGGTAATTTACGTGGCTGGGCAGCCTATCCGGACACGAAACGCTCTCTGCTGTCACGTTCCACATGTTCCATTCAGAGATGCACATAGAAAAATGGGAACTGTCCGGATACGAAAAAAAAATATGACGTACTCCTTTCGCGTTGTCTCGTGCTGTGCTGTGCTTTCCCCCCTCCCGTCTGGTCTCTCGTCTTTGTATGTCTTGTTTACTACAATTCGAAAAATTGATGTAATTTTTAGCATACATTTTCCTGTTTTTGTCTTGCTGTTATTTTATCGCGTGCTTTTTTTCTATAGTGGGCGGTATTTCTCAATTACAATGATCGATGGCTGGGTTTCGTTTCTAAAAGTAGAAACAAAATTAATATTGAACTATCCATCTAGCTTGTGGTTCATCAATTAATTTAATTTAATTTAATTTACTTTTTAATTCAATTAATTAATTATGTTTCCTATTCAAGGAACGCAAGGCTCATCCATCTCTACCAAGTCTTTTAATTCATCCCATCTCAAATATTTTCATTCTTTAATTTTTTATATATAAGAGTGTGTAACTTGAATCATGAAGTTGACTTCGAATTTGTCTTCCATCTCATTTCATTCTATGGATTCTATACTAGATCACCAAGACATACATATATACAAATAACTACGATCGTTATGCTATTTAACAAAAAATCTCTATTCGCTGCTTTGGTGGCTATGAAATTGGCTGCTGCCGACACTTGTAATCCTTTGAAAAGTACCTCCTGTCCAGACGACACTGCTTTGGGAACCAGTTTCTCTGAAGATTTCACCTCTGCTTCAAAATACTTCACTAACACCGGTAACCCAGGTACCATCGAATATGCTTCCGATGGTTTAGCCATTACAATGAAAAAAAGATTCGATAACCCAAGTTTGAAATCAAATTTCTATTTGATGTATGGTAAATTCGAAGTCATCATGAAAGCTGCTCCAGGTACCGGTATCGTATCTTCTGTTTTCTTACAAAGTGACGATCTAGATGAAATCGATTTAGAATGGTTAGGTGGTGATACTACCCAATTCCAATCCAACTATTTCTCAAAGGGTAACACCACTACCTACGATAGAGGTGAATACCACGGTGTCAATGCTCCACAAAATGAATTCCACAACTATACCGTCGACTGGGCTATGGATAAGACTGTTTTCTACTTGGATGGTGTTCCAGTTAGAACTTTGTTGAATACCACAAGCGAAGGTTACCCACAATCCCCAATGGCATTATATCTAGGTGTCTGGGCTGGTGGTGATCCAAGCAACCCACCTGGTACCATTGAATGGGCTGGTGGTGAAACAAACTACGCTGATGCTCCATTCTCTATGTTTGTTAAACAATTAGTCGTCTCTGATTACTCTTCTGGTAGTTCTTACTCTTACAACGGTCAATCCGGTAGTTGGGAATCTATTCAAGCTGCTAACGGTCAAGTTTATGGTAGATACGGTATTGCTCAAGAAGAATTTGCTAATTTGGTTGACGGTGAATCTGTTGAATATGCTAACACCGCTTCCAACTCTACCACTACTACCACTACTTCTGCCACCACTTCTTCTGAAACTTCTGAAACTTCTGAAGATGTATCCACTTCAACTGAATTCTCATCCAGTTCATCTGAATTAAAAACTTTGTCAACCTCATCTGATATTTCAGAAACCTCAACCTTTTCTTCATTGTATCCAACTAGCAACTCTTCCACCATTGAACCATCAAGCACTGAATATTCATCATCTAGTTTGTTCTTCAACAGCACTTCATCAGCTCCAGTTACAACTTCTGCTTCTAGCACAAGTGAAGTTCAAACTACTATTATGTCTAGTAGAATTTCTTCTTCAACTGTTGCTCGTAACACAAGTAGTACTACTACTCACGAAATCAGCAGCGCTAACTTTGGTAATGCTGTAATTGAAAAGAGCAACTCTTTGTTTACTGTTCTAGGTTTAGCTTTAGCCTTTTTCATGTAATAAGCATCGAGTATACATCATGATCCATGTATTATTTTTCTTTGATCATGCCATTTCAACTCACAAATAAGTTACATTTCATTCAATCATTCATTTCAATTCTGCAATATTACACATTTAAACTTTTAAGAGTAATATGATGCTGTATTTTCTCTACCTCAGCATGCATACAGTGTAGTTAATAACCACTAATGCCCCAATTTCGTTTTTAGTTTGTACAATAAAATAGTTTCTAAATAAATTCTAAAATAAATAGGACGATTCATCATGTTAATTGTTTCATTACAGTGTCGCCATTAATCAACTTGGTCTAGCCTCATCTCATCTCATCTCATCTTATCTGAGAGTTGTAGCGCAGTTAAGGTCTCGTGAAAAATTTACCATATTGAAAAATTTGAATAGATCAAGAAGTATATATAACAAGAGACGAAGTATTGTAATTGTTGTTTTACTTTGAGAAAGTGACAAGTTATATTAACACTCTACTATTCGAGGATAAACCCTATATAGTCAACCGTGCTTTATAATTTGGAGAGAAGATGAAGGTACTTGAGACAAGAGATGCATTTTTAAGTGATTACGAAGTACTACAATTTTTATCAAAATTGGAAAGAAAACATAATTGGATAGAAGATACCAACGATGAAAATAACAGAAAGAAACACAAAAAAAACCATAGATACAACCACCCAGAGTTAGAGTTCATAACTAAAAACACATTATCCTATTTGTCAATAGACAAGAACTATCTTCCGCAAGAAGAAGAGCAAGAAGAACAAGACAAAGATGCATTAAAAACATCACCATTAAATCGAATGAATGATGAACGTTTCACAGAACTAGTCAATCAATTAAACGGTTTCGAATTGTTCAAAGCAGAAAAATTACAAATAGTTAATCAGTTACCGACTAATATGGTCCATCTATATGCAATAGTAGAAGAATGTGACTCTAGATTCACAGAATTTCAGGTCGAAAAACTCTTATCAATTATAAAAGAATATATATAATTAAATATGACATATTCAAATATAAATCTAATGAATCAATTACAGATATAAATTGTATGTTAAACTTTAATTTGCATCCATCTATTGAAGATGTAGATGTAGATGTATATGTATATATAATGGCACCATACTAATACTATCTATATACCACTAATAATTGCATATGGTCTGATTATTTGTTACCCGGAGTTCTTGATAATATCATGAAGAAATTTAATACGATAATAATTTGGCAAACTTATATAAAGGGACTGTCGCCGACTCATTCTTATAACTTCAATGAATATCCTTTATGATGAGGATAAGCAACACGTCTTTTTTGGTTTCACGGTTCAAGATAGGTCCAAGAGATTCGAGGCTTTGAGGGAGAATTAAGAGTGTAGACTAATTGATACTTTGCAAAGGAGACAAGAGTGATTCCTTTTTTTTTTTTTTTTTTAAAGATTAATTTTGGCTTTGATTTTGGTTGCTTTATATTGTACATCATCCTAAGGATTAATTAAGTGTTCGGAAATATATATCCATATCTCTATTTAATTGATTCTATTTGCTAGATTTTAAGGTTGGCTTTCTTCTTTTTTGAATTCGACGATATTACTAAATTATTGGGTTTGTTATGAAGTTTGGCGAACAATTGACAAAGTCTTTGATAAGACAGTACAGTTATTATTATATCTCTTATGATGATTTGAAAAATAGCATCGAACAAGGTCTAAAGGGAAATAATAATGTCTGGTCTCAAGATTTGGAAACTAAATTTTTAGAGTCTTTAGAAATTGAGTTAGACAAAGTTTACAGTTTCTGTAAAGTTAAACAGAGTGAAGTTGTTAGAAGAGTTAAAGATGCTCAAGATCAAGTCAGGCACACTGTAAGAGCATTAGATTCAAACAACCCTCCTTCCGAGCTGGATTTCGATATTTTGGAGGAAGAACTAAGTGATATCATAGCTGATGTTCATGATTTAGCAAAATTTTCACGTTTAAACTATACAGGTTTCCAAAAAATCATTAAAAAACATGACAAAAAGACAAAATTCATCTTGAAACCAATCTTCCAAGTACGTTTGGATTCAAAACCTTTCTTTAAAGAGAATTATGATGATCTGGTTGTTAAAATTTCTCAATTGTATGATTTAGTTAGAACTAGGGGTAATCCAATCAAAGGTGACTCTGCTGCAGGTGGTAAGCAACAAAATTTCGTCAGACAAACAACGAAGTATTGGGTTCACCCGGATAATATTACTGAATTGAAATTAATCATTCTAAAGCATTTGCCGGTCTTAGTATTCAACACAAATAAAGAATTCGAAAAGGAGGACTCTGCAATTACTTCAATTTACTACGATAATGAAGACCTAGACTTATATTATGGTCGTCTGAGGAAAGATGAAGGTGCTGAAGCGCATAGATTGAGATGGTATGGTGGTATGAGTTCCGACACCATTTTTGTAGAAAGAAAGACTCATAGAGAGGATTGGACTGGTGAAAAATCTGTCAAGGCAAGATTTGCTTTGAAAGAAAATCATGTAAATGACTTTTTGAAAGGTGGGTATACTGTTGAACAGGCTTTTTCAAAAATTCGCAAAGATGGAAAGAAATCCTTAAAAGAAATCGAAAGTTTGGAGGCCTTGGCAATTGAAGTCCAGTATACAATGTTAAAGAAAAAATTAAGACCTGTTGTCAGATCGTTTTACAACAGAACAGCTTTTCAATTGCCTGGAGATGCCAGAGTGCGTATATCTCTAGATACCGAGTTAAGTATGGTAAGAGAAGATAATTTTGATTCAATCGACAGAACTAAAGGTAATTGGAGAAGAATGGATATTGGTATCGATTGGCCTTTCAAACAATTGAATGATGAAGATATTTGTAGGTTTCCTTATGCAGTGCTTGAAGTCAAATTACAAACTCAATTAGGTCAAGAACCTCCAGAATGGGTACGTGAATTGGTTGGCTCACATTTAGTTGAACCTGTCCCTAAATTTTCGAAGTTTATACATGGTGTTGCAACATTATTAAATGATAAAGCCCAGTCAATTCCATTTTGGTTACCTCAAATGGATGTTGACATCAGAAAACCTCCTATTCCAACTCATATTAACATCACAAGACCATTGAGAGAAAATGAAGATGACGAACAAGGAGATGATGATGAGGAAGACGAGGATATTGCATTGGTCGACGCCATGACCTCGGCTCCAGGTAATTATATGGATCAAGAAGAGAGAATGGGATATGGGTCAATTGCAAACGAACCTTCAGGGAGTACACCAATAGTTAATGCAAGCGCAAATGCCGTTTATTATCAAAACAAAATAGGGAATTCGTCAAATATTCTATCAAAATCATATTACGAAGTTGCCTCATTTTTTGATTCTTACTTTAATGGTGACAGGATTAGCAAAGTTCCACATGGTACTGTTTTTGATACTCAAGTGAAAGCACCACCTGGTAAAACCATTTGTGTACCTGTTCGTGTTGAACCTAAGGTATATTTTGCGACCGAAAGAACATTTTTATCTTGGCTATCGATTGCTATTTTGCTTGGTGGTGTCTCTACCTCCTTACTTACATATGGTACTCCAACTACCATGATAGCATCAATTGGCTTCTTTATTACCGCCTTAGCTGTCATTGCTCATACCACTTATGTTTATACTACAAGGGTTGTTAATATAAGATTAAAAAGAGCTATTGATTATGAAGATAAGATCGGTCCTCCAATGATTTGCGTTTTTTTGACTTTGTCGATCCTGTTCTCATTCTACTGTAATTTAGTATAAACCCATATCTCAATTTTCAACTGTCACTGACTGAATTGAAAACTATCCTATATTTTTAGTTCCCATCCCTAAATTTATAAATATTTAGTACCTGTAAAAAATCAATTGATACTTATGTAAGTAAGATTATATATTATTAAACTATTATCATGCATTAACTTTTCTAAAATCTAAATATTAAAAATCTTCCTATATAAATATATATATAGATAAATATGCAGATGTTTCATTATTATTAACAAATTGAATTTCTATAAGGCATTCAGATGAAAAAAATATATATTACGTCTTTTATATCTCAATTACAAATGATTAGATAGTTTATTCTTCATGATTTCTTACACCGCTGACGATATCATCAACTCTCAATAATAAACATGCGCTTTCAATAGCGGTCTTGATGCTTTGTTGCTTAATTACCTCTGGCTCCCAAATACCATAATCTACCATATCAACCACTTTACCGTTATCACCATCGATACCCATGGTATGATTACCTTGGGCGTGTTTAGCTCTTAATTGTGATAATATTCTAATTGGACTGCCACCAGCATTTTGTATTAGTGTACGTGGAATACATTCCATTGCATCTGCTACTGCTTGATATGGCCATTGTTGGATACCTTCTAACTGTTTAGCCTTTTCAGCTAATCTGACAGAAACGGCCATTTCAGTAGCACCACCACCTGGAGATAAGGAAGGTGATAACATAACATTACGAGCAACAGCCATTGCATCGTGTAAGTTACGTTCAATTTCATTTAATATATCCTTGGAACCACCGCGCAACATAATAGTACATGCCTTTGGATCTTCACATTCATCTAAGAAGGTAAAATATTCATCACCTATCAATTCAACCTTAAATAGACCACATTTTGTACCTACATCAGTTTCTTTTAAATCTTCAACACGATTAACAATAGTTGCACCAGTGACACGGGCAATTCTATTATTATCAGATTTCTTTGTTCTCCTTAAGACACTACAACCACCTTTTAGCAAGAAATGTTGAGCTAAATCAGAGACACCTTTTTCTGTAATTACTACAGTAGGTTTGACTGCTAGAATTTGTTCACACATCAATTGGACTTGTTCTTCTTCGATTTGTAATATTCTTTCCCAATCTTCTTCGTTTTGAATTTCAATGTTGGTTTGAGATTCACCCTTCTTATATTCTAATGGACAATCTAATAAGACTACTCTTGGGTCTTTCACTAGTCTAGACATTTTTGGATGAACGACATCTTTATTTAACATGACACCATTTAAAACACGGGAATCCATAACTTCTCCACCTGGAATTTTTTCTATACGAACATATCTTTTGGTATCAATTTCATATTTAGGTTCACCTTCTGCGACGGTGCCAAGATCTATTCTTACAGTTTTCACAGCTTTTAGTGCCAATTCACACATCTTTTCGGACCAATGATTAACATATTTAGTACCAATAGAAGCTTGAATCAATTTTTTCATGGCAGCATCATTTTCTGTATCAACTGGTTTGCTGACTTCGTCGATGACTTCCAAAGCATCAGACAAAGCCTTCTTCAAAGCCTGAATAATGATAACAGGATGAATATTTTTTTCGATCAAGTATGGCGCACATTGGGTTAAAATATCACCTGCCAAAATGATAACAGTTGTAGTACCATCACCAACCTCTTCATCTTGAGTACGAGACAATTCCAACATAGATTTAGCTGCTGGGTGAGCAACGTCAATTTCACGTAAAATAGCATGACCATCGTTAGTTAAAACTAAACCACCCATTGGATCCAAAAGCATCTTCAACATAGCCTTTGGTCCCAAACAGGTACGGATGACATCAGCAACAGCTTTAGCAGCTGTGATATTAGATATTTGAGCTTCACGACCTGTGGTACGTTCTTGTGAAGTATTCATAAAGACTACTGGAGCTTGGACTGGAGCTTGCATTTTTTCAATAGTATTATTTATCTGATCTATTTTTTCACCTTTATTCCTACTTCTTTCTCTTGAAATTGAATATTACACTATAAATAGACGATAAATCACCTTGAAATTCCTTCAATCGATGGCTGTTGGTGTCTATAATCCCATCAAATCCTTCTTTAAAAGTGGCAAAACCTCTTAATTTTTAATTCTCATCAATTTTTTTTTATAACAATTTGATCGATACGTGGAAAGTGATAAAAAATTAATCGTTGGATATCCATATCACGTGACTATGATTATATTGGCTATTTTGTTAATGAGCAGGGTAACTAACCAGGTTAGATATAATGAAGAATACAGTAATGGCATAAACCATCACCATACTGATGAGGACACGCAGTTACGAGATACAATGACCTATGCATTATATATACTACATAAATAAATCGAATTAAATAATAAAAAATAAATTAAAATGCTAAACATATTCTCCTCTTGATTTAATGACATATTCGATATGACATTTGCTATGAGATCTTGAAGGGAATAGAGAGAAAAAGAGAACGATAGACAACAGTATTGGAACGAACTAACGATTACTGAGGAAAAAAATTGACCTCTAATTCATATAATCAGTTTTCTTTATCTTTTCATAAATCTATTTTTCCAGAATATATTAACTTCTAAAATAAACACCAGAATGCAAATAGGAACAATAATTGTACAACAGAAGTTTTATATTCTCCCAAATATTAAAATTGTAATTAAAATAATTGGCACCAGTTTTGAATAAAAATATTAACTATGGTCAACATTATATCCATATTATAACTAAATATCCAATTCATCTTGACCAAATGAAGGGATGTTATCACTGTCATCAAACTTTGGTTCTTGATCAGGATCGTCACCATCATTATTTCTTCTTGGAGTCTTCAAATGCAACCTTTCAAAATCATCTAAATAACTAGGTGATGAATAATCTGGGATATCTCCTGCTTTAAATGGAAATTCACCTGCGCTAGTGATCTCCAAATCAGATTGTGTTATAGCTTTTACGACAAACTTCTTTAATGAGGTAAACTCACGGTTACCATAGTTTTCATCAACTTGAAAAACAATGGAGTGCACTAATGGCCTTAGTTTGATAAACCAAGGTGGTAAAGGAAATTGTTGCCTTATTTCGGTTTCTGCCAAGTTATAGTTATATTGACCGATTTTAATATACGTCGAATCCTTAGCAAACAACTGACCTTGTTTAAATAGTTTTGCAGTATCCAAAAATTTTGAAATAGACGACCTATCATCAGCGAGTTTGACATATACTGAAATAACCTTTGGCGCAGAATTCATCATGTGGACGTTATTTGTTAATCTACCATGGACATATGATATTCTAAATAAATGCAATGGCTGTTGAAACCGAATTGCCCAAGAACAGTCATTAGTTGAGTCACATTGCCAATAAGTAGAACTACCTCTCGTCGTCGATAACAATTCTATTGGAGATGTACCATAACCGTATTTCCATGTGGAAGAAGTTAAATGATTTAATAATCTAGTACCCATAGAAAGACTACCGAAATCTAAATCATCTTCCCATTGATGTTGATTGGCATTGTAAATTTTATTTACCATTTTTTTTAACAATATTGTCGAATATTGATCAGGAGAAATATTTATTGAACTTTTGTATTTTGCATTTTCATTTTCTATTTGTTCTAATTTTGTGCTGACCTCTTGCCATATTTCATGCTTGTTCAATTGTAAATTTCTGTTTAATTCTGTGATAAAATAATCCTTATCAACATATTGAAGTTGATTCTCCAAGACTTCTTTAATATATTCGTTAAGATCGTACTTTAGTTCTGATTTTAGATCTGTTGGTTCAACATGTTGAATCAAATCTGACAATAACCCAGATATATATTCATGTAATTCTGGAATAACTAACATCGATGAGGTGCCATTCACTACTACAGGTATTTCATTTGGCAAACGGTGATTTAGTTCTTCAATAAGTTTATCGTGCCATTCAGTTATATTTTCCATGGAAAATTTAGAACGATAATCTTTATTCATTGTGTCCCAGTTTGTCAAAGACGATGATAAAGAATTTACTTTTGTATTCAACAGTTCCAACTGGGCTTGAAAATCAAGTATATTAGAAGGTATCAGTTTTTTGATATTCTTCTCGAATTGTGATATGACCACTTTTATTGTCTTATCTAGATCTGACTGATACTGATCATTCCTTGTATTCATTTCCTTGTATAAATGATTCACTTGTTTTTGAATATTACCCAACGATGTTGGTTTTATTGTAGAAAATTCACTAATAGAGCTATCTGTTTTACCATTTAGAATCAATGGTATCGTTAGAAGCAAAATAAACATCATTGTAATTCCTAATGAGATATTTCTCAAAAATTTATTCGAATTACTAGTAGTTATGTCTTCATTATACCTTACAGATTTGTCATGAAGCATAGTGTCATATTCGTCTTCATATTCATAATCCGTGTCCTCTGTAGATATATTTTCCATATCTGTTGATGTATAATCATCAATTTCATCATAATCTTCTATAAAACTTTCATTTGCCTCTTGGAGACTGTTGCCTTCATCATCATCATCGTCAACATCATCATCGTCATCGTCATTGTCGCTGTAATTCAACCAGTCATCATCTTCGTAATCTTCATCGTTGCCATCGGATATGCTCTCATTATTAAGTATATTTTTCTTGAAATCATCGTAATCATTTATGGACTCACCAGTCTCTTCAATCATGCCAATATTATATCTATTAGTAGTCCCCTCTGCTGTATCCTCAATGCTACTACCGCTACCACCACCTTCGGCTAACGGCCCCCTCTGAACCCTAGAGTTCCCAATTGAGATCCTTTCCATCAACAAATCCTTATAGGCCTTCTTCATGGACCCATTGCCATTATTCACCTCCACAACCTCATGTCTATCCTTTCCACCCTTCATATTTCTCAAAACCGAACTGATCGAAATGATATTAAATGTAATGTTTACTACAACTTAAGTACAGTTTACAAAATCAAACAAACTACCAAACGATCAACCTTTAGCACATAAACTGAAACCGTCTCAATCAAATCAAAAACCAATATCCTCCTTAAAACCAATCCAAAAGTTAAACCTTCAAACCGAATCTATATATATAAATATATATCTATTCAAAGATATTGATTCGCTGTCTTCCCCAATTATAACCTTATACTAATCGGATTCAAACGAAACAGAAAGTAAAACCTCAAACAATTCACCGGAATAATCAAATATACCACTCCAAGCAAACCCTTTACCATCATAACTCATCAAAACAACTTAAACTTCTCATCATCTCATCGTCTCTTTCTTTCTATTTGGATATATATTTTTTTTGTAGTGTCTAATTGAAATTTTTAGATATGTCCATGATAAAACTTGAAGATAATTATAAGCTGGAAAAAAAACACTGGTTACCAGTTAATGAGATCTTTATGTTTAAGTTTTGGATAGATTGAATGAATTGAGGTTGGCTAAGAGTGTCGAATATTGTTATATTTAAGCTAGTTTTATTGTTTATTCCTGTATTGGTCTTTTCAAAGAGAAGAATCGCTTAATTTTTGGTGGTTGGAGAGGATATATACATATAATTTTCTTTTTAACGATTTAGCTTATATTGATTATAATTAAGATTCGTAACGAGATCAAGGATGAATTGTAATGTTACTTTAGTGCAACAGGTCAGACAGATGTCTGGGAAACGGATTGCTTATCCTTTTTATCCGGCCAAGAGATTGACTAGACAACATCCTAAAGTTCATGATACTAATTTGAAGTATGCTATGCGTCAATTTTTGGGACCAAGAAACTACAAAGGTGAATATGTCTTGAACAAATATTTTAGGGTTCCAAATGACCACACACCTAACTATATCAAACCTGATTTGGAGAAAGGTCAAACCTTGAAGAATCCTGCCACTGGTCAACTATTGGTCGAGAGACACGATGGATCTTATGAACCGGCACGTTCGAATAAGAGGTTGGAAAACATTCCTCCAAAGAGACTATTACAGCCATTCCCAGAAAACCCACACTGTGTTACAAATTATATTATCAGCGATGAGTTGAAACAGAAGATATATAAGGAGATCACTAATCAAGGGTCATCGACACAACAGGTTGCTCAAAAATACGGTTTGAAGATTCCACGTATCGAGGCTATTGTTAAACTAAATGAAATTGAACGTAGTTGGGAATCTGAGAATAAGATTAATAAAGATTTACGTAATATGTCTACCACACTATACAACATGTTCCCATTATTTGAACCTTCAATTGATGCCAAAAGAGAAAATTTGAGTGAAATTCCAGTTCCACCAAGTGCGTTGAAATCAAGATTCTTAACCATCGCAGAGTCTCAACCATTCGGACCGATCGATGCTGCCAAAGTTTTGGAATTAGAACCTGCCTCTGACACTTTGGAAAAGCTATCCACCATCGGTGAACATTCGAGTGGTCATCAAACAATTCGTAAGATCAACAAGAAGGTCATCTACGGTGAAATGCTTCAAGGTGAGAAATCGTTGTTTAAATTCACTGAAGCTAGAGTTGGTAAAGTCGGTTTCCGTTATGGTCGTGTCAACCGTGACAACAAGAAGGACCGTAAGATTGGATTCAATGAAGCAGGTAAGATGGTCTACATTTAATTTTCCTCTTATCTGTTTTTTTATTATTTTATTATTAATAACAGAATCCCAAAATTCGATCCCAAATCAATTCATTCACGTACATAAAACCTGTAAATATACTTATATACAAATAAAAAGAATAACAAAAAGAATAACACAAGGAACCAATATATATCTACATGGACCCAACTTCTAGCAATCAATTGAACAGAAATCAGTCTATCAAGTTCAATTGATCACATCTTTTGAATCGTTTCTGGTCTGCTCTGGTCTTACTGCCAACTTGACTGAATCCTTTAAACATTATCACCATTTGGTAGCGTCGTGTAAGTTTTTTGTAAAAGGGGCATTAAAAACCCAAATCGAAACTTAAAAGAACCAATTAAACAGAAGTTATAAGTAGTTTTAATAGTTTGATTTGGTTTAATATTCGGGGAAACTACAGTCTAATAAGTACTTTTTAAGGTGAATTGTGTTTTTTTGAATTGCTGAGACGGTTTCCGGTTAGATTGCAATTAGAAATAACTTCCCTTAGTTTTTTTTTTGTTATTGTACTTATTTCGATTTAATTTAGTTAGATCGAACTTTCAAAGTTTTTGAAAAAGACACATATTGAATTTAATTTTTGTAGAGTGAAAGATCTGTTAATATTTTGTTACAAGATATGTCTCAACCTTCGGTTCCATTCGAAGTTGTTGCTCATTTCCCGTATGCCTCTGAATATGAAGATGATTTGAATTTCGACAAGGATCAAGTTATTAATGTCACTTCAGTGGAGGATGACGAGTGGTATTATGGTGAATACAAGACTGCAGATGGTGTTATGAAAGAAGGTATATTTCCAAAGAGTTTTGTATCTCCAAAGGGTGATGCCTCTGCACCAGCACCAGTTGCAGCTCCACAAACTGTAGCTAGTGATAGTCACGATGATGATGATGATGATGATGAGTTTGATGATGCTACAGAACATATTCCAGCTCCTGTTGTCACACAACCACCAGCAACAGAGAGATCTACTGAACCTACCGCTACAAAAGAAGCTGTCGAAAATAAGCTGAAAAATAGATTATCAATGTTTGCTCAAGATTCTACACAACATGTTCCAATACCAGGTAAACAATTCCTACCTTCGGATGCAGCACCTGTGAAGAGAACTGTAGTCGCAGAACCACCAAAATTTTATGTCCCACCTTCAATTTCTAATGAAATCCCAAAGAAACATGAAGAACCTTCAGCCCCTGTTCCTGAACCAGTGAACCGTTCTGAAGTAGAAAGTGAGGACGTTACAGGTGCTCGTGCTAATGACGAGGAAAACCTACCTAAAATGAGTTTAAAAGATAGAATTGCTCTGTTACAGGAACAACAAAAATTACAAGCAGCAAAAGAAGATGAAATGCTAAAGAAAAAATTAGAAAAAGCTGAGAAAAAACAAGCTGAACAGGAATTATCCAAAGTCGCAACAAATCCAGAATTATTAGCAACAAGTGAAGAAACTGAAGATGTAACTTCCGAACCTGTTGTAGTTTTAGATGAAGAAACACAAAACTCAGAAGTTGTATCTAATGAACCACAGGTACCTCATATTCCTAATATTCCAGAGCAAGCTGCTTTCTCTAATACCGCCCCAATTCCACAATCCACACCAATGGGTACTGAAGAGGAACCAACTGAAGAACAAGGTGCCGGTGCAGACGGTAATGAGGAAGCTGAAACTGAGGAAGCGGAGGAAGAAGAAGAAGATAGCGAAGAAATACGTCGTGCTGCATTGAGAGAAAGAATGGCAAAACTGGCTAATGCAGGTAGATATGGGAACCAAATGGCATTCAATCCTTTCGGAATGCCTACAGGCGCTCCAGTACCTTCTGCTTCAGCAAAGAAAAAAGTCACCAAGGATGAAGAGGCTCCTGTGCCAGAAGCTGTCCCAATTCAACAGGCTGTACCTGTCATGCCATTTGCAGACCCAAATGATATTTCATTCTTAACCAAAAAGAAAACAACTGATAGCGAGTTTGGAACTGATGAGGCTACAACTGAGAATAAAATTGATGATTTAGAAATCCAAGAAACTTCAGAAACTCAAAAGGGAAACGAATCTGAATTTATAAGTAATGCCAATGATGAATCGGAAAAAGTTTCCCCCGAAGATAATCAAAAATCGTCCACATCTGAACTATTACCAGAGATTCCAAAAGGTATCGCTGATCTTAAAGAAGATGAAATAATTAATCAAACATTAAAAGATATGGCCATTCCTCCAATACCAGAATTTAGCGCCGATGTGGAACCAACCATTCTTTCATCAACAAAGGAATTGCACATTGAAAATGAAGAAGAAAGTCCAACAATTGTTCCATCTATGCCTCCTATTTCTGGTGCTCCTCCTATTCCCCAACAACCAAAAACATCCAAAATGGCAGTACCACCTCCAGTTCCACAAGTGCCAACTACTACAGTTTCTATGGAGACTCCATCTATGCAAGCACCACCTGTACCAGGTGCTGTTCCTGTGCTACCACCTGTCACTGCTCCTATCCCAATACCAGTACCAGTACAAGAACCAGAAGTAGTAACCACTCCTGCTCCACCAATCCCAGGTAGTGTTCCAACTCCATCAAGCAAGTCGACTACAACAAGGGCACCACCACCACCACCTCAGGTACCACCACAAAGTACATCCACAGCTCCACCAGTTCCTACTTCAATGCCTGCACCACCAATTCCAACTTCCATACCTGTTCCTACAGAACATCATGAATCAACGGTCAACCGTTCTGCCCCACCACCACCACCTCCACATATCACAGCGTCTCGTGCTCCACCACCACCGCCTCCAGCAGTAGCAGTGCCTCAAACATCTGCATCTCCTGGTCCACCTTCTAGTCGTGCACCACCTCCACCTCCTCCAGGAACAAGTATGGAGCCAATGCAGGCACCACCAAAAATTCCTATGTCAAATGAAGACTCTCATCATCAACCTTCAGATACTAGCAGAAATTCCTCAGATCTTCCAAACCTTTCATTGAAGAGAACCACAAGCACAAGGGAAGGTATCGATTCATTACATCAAGTCGCAATTGACTTGAATACCAATGATGATTGGTGGCTCAAGAAGGAAAAACCTACTAGATTGATTAATCCAAAGTTACATTTTATTATGGAAATTGATGAAGATACTATTAAAAAGAGAATGAATAAAAAATATGTGATGAGAGACTTTTATATATTATTTGAAGATTTGTCACAATTAATGGTTTCAGTTATATTCGATCAAGAGGATCCTATTAATTCAGCTCAATTCACTCAAAGATTTATTTCTGGCCCAAATCGTTCTGAACTGTTACCTATTTACGGTGAGAAAATTGGTGCAAATATTGCAAAAAAGGCCCATTCAATGATTGGTTCTAGTTCTGGAGATTTAGTTACTTCAATTATTAATGAGTACAAAAATCATATTATTCAACCTATCGCTGATAGGACCTTTGGTGTGCCAATAATTAGTTATAAAGCAGGCACACCTTTGGATACACGTAGTTTACAAGCAATAATGCCTGGTGATATAGTTGTTATAAGAAAAGCTAAATTTGAAAGCCATAAGAAATTGTCAATGGGGTCAAAGGAAGTTTCTGTTGGTATGAATTCTGTCCCGTTCAGTGCCGTTGTTACTGAGTTTGATTTCACCAAAAATAAAATAAGAGTGATTGAAAACTGCGACGGTAAAGTTATTCAAAGTAGTTACAAATTGAGTAATATGAAAAGCGGTAAGTTAAAAATATTCAGAATTGTTGGCAGGGATTATGTTGGATGGTAATTTGTATTCAACTATTACAATTTTGATAAACTTTTTATTGACTCTATACTAATTACTAAATAGTATGTATGATATTTAACGAGCTCCTTATAGTATAAATCATTTTAAGAAATACTAATTAACTATTCAATCCATTTTGGGATCTCAGTTACAAAATTGAAATTGTTTTCATTATCAGAGTATCTCCATGCATGTAAATATAATTCCAACTCGTTTAACTTAATCGGTGATGATAAATCAGATCCACATATCTCACACACCTCATCATTTCTTTGCATGGAACTAGAATTTTGATATTCTCTTAATTCTTCTTCAAGCTGGTCGAATTTTTCCTTGAGTGTGGAAGGAGGAAGACCTGATTTCTCCCAAGAAGCCAATTCCAATAAAAATCTTGATCTTTTTGGATACTTAGAATGTCTTAAATTATAAAAGTGATCATTGACGATTGGGAATCCTAATCTTGCCAAGTGTATCCTAATTTGGTGAGTTCTGCCTGTCAACGGTTTACACAACACAATACTTTGATCCAAGTCAGGTATATATTTTACTGGGTAAAAATCTGTCTTAGCTTCCCTTGATGGTGAAAGACCGGCGGGAAATTGTTTTTTCAACTCCAAAGTAAATATATCAGAATCGACAGAACTCTTTAAAGCAGGTGTCATAATCCTCTCTAGAATCATTTCTTGAGTTAAAATCAAATCAGTTGGAACTTCTAAAATTTTTGGAAATTGACCTTCAACCCTAGCGAGGTATAACTTTGTCATATCATGGACTCTAATCTTTTCTTGCAACTTGGAGGCAATTATTTGGTTTTTTGCCATAATTAATAACCCTGAGGTAGTTTTATCCAATCTATAACAAGGAGAAACCAATTTCCCATGCTTCTTCAGTATTTCTGTTAAAGTATTCAGATAATATTGCCCAGTGGGATGAACAGGAATACCTGAAGGCTTATTTACCACTAATAACTCATCATCTTCATAAACAATATCAATTCCTCCTATTTTCCCTTCCACAATAGAGTTCTCTTCTTCAATTGAAGTACACCATTGTTTAACCGGTGGTTCATGATTATGAGTAGTCATCCCAATGATATCCTTATGCTCAATGGGTAACTCCAACACATCTTGAACCTCCAGAAATCTATCACCACGTCGTATCTTGTACCTGCCAGATTTAATTCCCTTCAGATACTCATCTGGACCTTGCTTCCTGAACTCCTTTGTCAGAACTGTTAAAAGTGGTAATCCAACCCATCGACCTTTAGCATATGAAGACCTCTTACTAAGGTATGGTATGATATTCCTCAATCCATTGGCATAATAGACATCTGCACTCATCAAGCAACCATAAAGTCAGCAGAACAACTGCAATATAACTGATCCTAATCTATTTATCCAGCTGTTTCTTGAAGTCAATATCTTTCTTAAGATGTTAATATCAATTTTTTATTTAGCTCATCGCATCGATCGATATCAATATTTTTAACCTCTCACTGAGGACATAACCCACTATTTAAACTTAGAAGAATAAGTTAACCATTGAGAAGTGATGGAAAGTCTCTGAAAGGGTTGATCTGAGCATATTGAGAGTCTTTGATGAATTCCAATACTAAGTCTACGGTTTGGAAAGAGTGCGGTTTATTTGAATCAGGATGATAAAGTCGAAGGTGAGTTCTGCAGGTAAAAAATTATATCTGAATGAGGCTAGTCTTATTAAGAATATTTATGATCACACTTCCCAAATAGTGAAACTGGATACTAAACCTATCTCTATTGAAGATTTATCGAAGTGTGAAGCAATTGAGTCAGATGAATTGGCTTTACCTTTAGAGTATCAAGTCCTGTCAGTTTATAAGAAGAAATTAAAGGGTAACAATCCCATAAAAGAGGCTGTTGCTCAGCTTCGAGGCATTCATTCACCTGTACAGAAGTTTAGAACGATTTATCGAGTTTTTAATAAAGAGTCTATGTTATACAAATGCAAATATTTCAGATTAACGTATTTCCCAACGGATCATTTTCTATGTTTATATAGGAAAAGCAGACCTGCTATTAATGTTATGACATCAAATCCTTTAATATTCAATGGGAATTTTCCAAGAAAGGATGATGACAATTCAGTACCTCTTGAAAATGCCCAATCAGAGTTAACAAAGAAATTTCGAACGATTTTACGAAGATATCCATCAATCGATCCCAGGGACTATGCATATATCAGAACAATGGCACGTAACTCAATTCGAATCCAATTTATTAAAACCTGGTGTAATCTAAATGGGGACAAAGCAGTAGAAGAAGCAATCGAATACGGCCTCAATAAGTCAAAGAAAACCAGTGCGTCACTTGAAAGTTTTAAAGATGAGAAGAAGAAGTATTCATTTATCGATTCTGATGGTCAGACTCTAGAAGGGGTTGCTAAAGATGGGTATTATCAATATCAGGTATTCAAATTTCCAGATAGGAAATGTAAAAAAGAGTTTGAAGCATGTGTTAGAGAAAGTGTGTCAGCTGTAGCCAAATTATCATGGAGTGACATTCTAAAATGCAAAGGAACCGATAAAAATATATCATGGGTCGAGAGGACAAACAGCTCATTAAACATATCTGCTTTAAACAAAATGTTGAAAGGCCAAGAATTACCTACACTTCTGAGAAAATAATATACTGGATGACATATATATATATATATTCATTGGCATTTACATTGGGATTTATTGAACAATTACAAAACATAAAACAGTTAAATCGGATTCTTCTTAGAAATTTATAAATAAACTAGAATAGTTGTTATTTATTACATGCAATGGTGGGTACAGCATATTGATATTCGAAATAATTAGTTAGGAATAAGAAATGCATTTTTTAATATTTAAAATAATAATAATATTAATTCTATATCTGTTTGAAATAAATGGATTGAAGGTTATAAAAAACAACCAAAGATTCTATACTCTGTGAGAATAATCCTTCAATATACCAGCCATATGTGTATTTGTAATTTTCCCTCTTCTTTGTTTTTTCTTTTTGATGTCGATTTTTGTTGTTTGCCTTTTGATAGTAGCAGGGTCCACACTTGCAGGCTTCAAACCCAGATCTTGCAATTTTCTTGGCAACTCTGAGAATTGAGGTAATTGAATATTTTCCCACATTTTCACAAAATCTTCGTCAATATGATTTAAAAGACCACCATTATTATACCATACATATCTTGGGGTTCTGTCTTTCTTAGTTCTCAACACCAGAATTTTACTTTCTTCTTCTAATTCGTTAATAGTCTCGTCACACTGTGGCCAACCGTCTTTCAGTTCCCTACATGAGATACCTTTGAAAGTGACCTGTGATCTTAACAAGTTCAACAACTCTTGGGCTGAATGAACGTCATAAGTAGACATGTATTTAAAGCTTCCCTTTGCAGAGTCAAATTCTATTTTCTCTAGTTTTTTCAATAATTCCACGATTTTATCATTCTTAGTGATCGATAAGTAATCCAACAACTCGTTCAATAGCACAGGTTTCCCCTTCTTTTGAATATATTCAGTGGCCCACAACAGTTTTGAAGAATCATGACTTCTAGAGATATCCGATTGACTAGCCTGAAGGGCTGCAGCTGCCAAAGAACCAGGACGAACTTTCTTCATCGGAGAATCGTCATCATCATCAATCTCAAATATATTCTTTTCATCTTCATTCTTATTCGTATCCCCATCCTCATCTCCATCACTCAATACAACTGCTTCCTCCTTCTTTACAGAAACCATTTCCCCTTCTATCAAATCATCATCCTCCCCATCCATCTCAGATGCAGGTCTCTTCTTTGGACTTGGAGTCTTGACACCAGAACTGGATACCGAATCCACCGTAAGTACAGGTGCTGATTTAACCTTATTCTTAAAAGCATTCAAGTTAGCCAACAAAGGATCACTACTTTTTTCCATGTTTCCTCAATTTCTCTAATCAATACAAATATCCAACGCTAAATTTATATTTATATTTATATATATATGCAAACACCTAAAACCTCAATATCCCTATTAATACGTATCCAAAATCCCACCTGAAATACGAATCAGCAACCAGTTACCACTCTTGCTGTGTGACATCCATCTTATATCATCCATTAAACTCTTAAACATTTGATATATCCAACTGGTTTTAAATCAAAATTTTTCATTAGGGCTCTTGCCTGTTAATTTTCCATATTCTGGTTCTCGAGCAAAAAGAAACTTGAAAAAAAACCGAAAAAGTATAAATAGCAGACTGATTTCGAATTCGAAACTATTTCATTCCTAATTCCCAATTTTTAATTCGAATTTTAGTTGTTTTATTTGGTTTTGTATATTTTGGATTTTTTTCTAGAAGTTAAGTAATGCAGATGGCTTTGTTCGTATTGTGGGGGGGTACGTCTTGGCATTGGTTGGATATCTTTTCCGTTTCAATCAATGTTTTAGTTCCCTTCTTGTATCATCGTAATGATGGTATGAAATTTTTTTAAAATTCGAGCAATTGGCCGTAGATTAAACTAGTACCATGGGTCTCTTTTGGACAGTCTACTGTTCATGTAATGGGAGGTCTGTGGTATTCTCAGCTTTAAAACCATCGCTGTTAGAGGTTGCTTCTGAATTATGTTTGGTTAAGCGATCCATGAAATGGTGATGACCTAGAGTCTGGAACATCATGTATATGTATATGTATATGTAATTTCATTATAGTAGTTTTCTTGTGTAGTTTGTAGTCAGCTGGTGTGTCTTGGGCCTGTCCCTGGCTGTGGCGATGACAATGGCATTAGTAGCTTCTGCTGTTACGATCACTGTTTTATTGAGAGTTGTTTCTCTTCATTATCGTTTCTTTTTCACGGTTTTCCATCACAACTGCTTCTTACTAATGTCTCAGCCAGCTAAACGGTAGCTAATACTTCTTATAGATTCCAAAGATGTCTTGACATAAACATACATATATATATATGCATACATACCCAGTTTACTTGGCTCATAGACTATCCAGATTCATACCTGTAGTGACAACTGATCCCTCAATCAAACAATGAACTTCTCTAACGACTCTGAAGAGAAAGTATTCAATGAGATCTTTGACCAATTGCCAACATTAATCAAAGATAAATGTTCAGACTATGATGAATTATACGGTTATAAATTGAATTATAACGATTCCAAAGAAAAACTGGTTGAACAATACTACGATGAAGACATTGCAAAAGCATTAATCTTTAAGATCTGTAAAGCTTACCAATTTGATAAAACTAAAATTATTACTTCAATAGTAGATATTTTAAACTGGAGAAAGAGTTTCAATCCATTGAGTGCTGCTTACAAAGAGACTCACAATGAAGCATTGCAAACTGTAGGTTTGTTAACTTCTTATCCAGACGATGAACCTAACAAACGTGTCGTAACTTGGAATTTGTATGGTCAAATTGTTAAGAAGAAAGAGTTATTTAAAGACTCTTCAAAATTCATTCGTTACAGAATTGGGTTAATGGAAAGAGGTTTACGTCTATTAGATTTTAACAATGATGCAAACAACTACATGACCCAAGTTCACGATTACAAAGGTGTTTCGATGTTTAGATTAGATTCTGAAATCAAAGCATGTACAAAACAAGTTATTGCAATCTTCCAAAAATACTATCCTGAATTATTATACGCCAAGTATTTTGTCAATGTGCCATCGATTTTAAGTTGGATGTATGATCTAATGAAATCGTTCATCGATGAACAGACAAGAAAGAAATTCGTTGTGCTAAATGACGGTAATAAATTAGGTAATTATCTTAAATCCTGTCCATCAGAAAACTACGGTGGTACTGATAAAAAAAACAATCTACAAAAACAAGATGTCGACACTCCAAGACCTACTCCTTACGCCTTATACATACTTGAGTCACAAGCAAATGAAGATATTGATTAAGTAGATTTAATAACCTTTTCGCAAGCTTTATACCTCCTTTCCTTCCTCCTCGCTATAACGTCCCCCTCCCTTCCCCTCGAACCAAACCAAAACCAAATACAAGAAAGAAGCATGACATTTTCTGATAACCTAATTCAAGGACTATAATAGCAAGAGTTACAGCAATAATAATAAATTAATAATAAGTAATAAATATAGAATTTTATAGAAAAGAAATAATTCGAATCGTTTAGAAACCAATAGAAACCTATATCAGATCATTAATACCTCAACAAGTTCTCTGAAGTACATTATCACTTTTTCTTTCTTGTCAAACCATCTAGCTATCTATATATTTAACTACAACGTACATACCATACTAGAATTTGAGGCTAATAGGCTCAGTAATTACTAATAGTTTCTTATTAAGGGTACTTCTGGTGTGGTACTACTAAAAAGGAATATTACATTATGTAGATAACTCTAATTTTTATTTTTACAATGTCTATAAATACCTGAATCTCTTGTCTTGGTTTAAATCAAATTATTATGAATTCCCAAACTGAAAGAAATAACAATATACTCAACAACTATTTATTTTTAATAGTAGAAGTAATTAAACAAGAACATATATATTTATAAATCAGAAATGACAGCTTTAACAAATCACACTCAGCATGGTAGATATAGGTATAACCAACGTGACCCGAAAAGGGGATTCATTAGTCATGATTCAGTAGATGAATCAATGGATGGTTATGATCAAAGAGGCTATTTTGACAGCATGGCAGAAAGGGACTATGGTTATACTCAGAATAATAATCAAATGTTTTATATTGTGATAGAGGTTCAAAGCCCATCTGTATCACTGCAGAATAATTCACCCTTTGATGAAAATGGCAGAGGTTATTCAGAAATAAATCAAATTGAAAATAGTTGATACGGAGTGTTCCAAATCAATATTCATTAATTCATCCATCCATTGAAAAATCATATATAGCATTTAGTACTTAAGTAACATCAAATATCATGAACCCCTATATACCATTAATAATAAAATACCATTTTAATACAGAGATTGATTAGATTATGATAGATGTTGTATTTTTTTATATTAATCTTTATATATAAAGTTCATTAGTTATATAATAAAAACTGCAAATACTCCGTAAAAGATGTTGTCATTAAAAGTTACATTAAGTTTAATCAAATAGATTATGATGTTAAAAAAACCATTACTATAAAACATTAAGGGGAAATCTAGTATCTTATTATTAAGCCTTATCGTTAATACTTAATTTATCGAAATCTTTTGCTGTTGGATCTTTCCAAGCTGAGTTTTCAGTATTATCCAATTGATGCATGTTGTGACCATTTTCGTCTGGTGGTGTAGCCATCGAAAATGAGTTATATGGATACCACTCACCAGTAAATGGTTGTTCCGTTATAAATGGATGCATGGCTGCCTGTTGTGGAGTCCATCTTTCAAATGGATTAATATTCAATATACCATTTAAGAAATGGATTAAACATTCACGTTCACGCATTTCCCTTTCTAATAACTGCGGTGAACTCTGGACCTTCTTCGAAATTCTATAGTTTTTGATAATCTCCTCCAATTTTTCAAACTTAAAATATCTTTTGCTTGGAGCTTCAGTAGCATGGAATTCCATATTAAATTCATCAACAGTCTTTAATCTGTATTTTGGTGGCTGTACTTGTGCTATATGTGGTTGATTCATGTTAGAATCAATATTTATTAACACATCGTTGTTCTGATGAGAATCTACTGGAACCAGGTATTTTTTAGAGTTTTTACCTCTTTCTATCATCCAGGTTGGTGGGTATCCTAATGCATTTACAATTCTCGTTAGTTGGTTAAATTCTGAAGCTCCCGGGAAGATAGGGATACCTAAAAATAATTCGGCTACAATACAGCCTAATGACCACATATCAATACTAGTAGAATATGGGATACCCAAAATAATTTCTGGCGCACGATAGAATCTTGATTGAATATACGTATATAGAGTTCTTGTTTCCTCACATGAAGAACCAAAATCAATGACCTTGATATCTGGTTTATCTGGTGCACATAGAGTAATATTTTCTGGCTTCAGATCACAATGTACCAACTTGCTTGATTTTAATACTGTTAATGAATCTAGTAATTGTTTTGTAAAAGTTCTTATCAATGGAATCCTTAAACCGTGAAATTGATTTTGTTTTAGTAACTCATATAGATTATTACTTAACAATTCAAAAACCAAACACAAATGATTTTTATGCACAAATGTATCATACAATCTTAGGAAATGATGTTCATCATTTGGATCAATTTTCTTTTGGATCAATTCTAAAATTTTAACTTCTGATATACTTTGGTTAACATACTCTGATCTTGATTTAACCACTTTAACAGCTACAATTTCCTTTGTCATAACATTTTGACATTTTACAACTTGACCAAATGTACCTTGACCAAGAATATCTAAAACTAAGTATTTTCTGTTTTGCTCAGTACCTAGAACATCATTGACATAAAGAATATAATCACTATTGACATTATCAAAGCCATTATTGCCTCTTGGTTCATTTGGTTTTGTAAGCACTCTCTTTGGATTCTTGGATGTTTTATAAGCAAAATCTGGAGAACACAAGGAATAAGTTGTGATTAACCCTGTTGTCAAGGCATTCAATGGCGATATTTCCTTTGAATTTAGAGATGCTCTTCTATAATCGGGTGTTGGATTAATCAGGGGTTGTAGATCGTTTGCAGAATTTGTGATATGCATTTGAGGGATATGAATTGGTTGTTGTTTCACTAATGGCTCTTCCCTTCTAATTGGATGCAAACTTGGCGTCATTGACTGTGGATAGGCACTTAAACGTCTATAATGCGTTATAGGAATAGATTGATTTGCAGTTATTGTTGGACCAGTATCGGGTTGATATGAGACCGCGGCAACACTCTGTCTTCTGTAAAAGTCATTTGGATCAACAAAGTTCATGGATGGTCCCAACCTATCCGCAAACATACCATTGTCATTGGCAAGGAATTGTCTTTGTTGCTGATATGCTGCAGTAGATTGAGGAAAATTGGCAGCTTTATCAGATTGAAATGGATTGGTGTTAGCTGTTCTTGATGGTGGTGTAACCAAACTAGATTTTCTTCTTCTATAATCTATATCTAACATTCCCATAGAATTATCTGGAAAAGGACTGGCGGCAAGACTGTTTTTCCTGGATGCTGGGTCATTTCGCCAAGGATTATTGAAAATAAATTGACCTGGACGCATACCTGGATCGATATCACTATTCAACGCAGATTGCTGTGGTTGTTGTTGTTGCTGTTGCTGAAATCCACGCTGTTGCGTCATAAATGCTGGATTCCAGAAATCTTTCTTTTCCTCATTATTATTAGAATTTCCATTATGATTGCCATTATCAAATGGCCGATTGTTTGACATAACCTCTCCTTGCATTTCGTGATTTTTATTTAAATGAAAAAAACTGTTCAATGAAGATCCAGTCTTTTAACGATATTTTTTCAAATTATTGAAATTAAGGAATATATTTATATGTGTACTAGATAGCCCAAACTTTGATTATAACTAATTTTACCAAAAATTAAAAGGCAATCTTGGAAATGTTTTCTAAAGAATGTACTCTCTTTATGTAGTGACAAGGATTGTTATTTTATGATTTGAAAAATAACAAAGCCTATCCAACCAAATAATATTCTCTTGGTATAACAAATCGAGAGATTTGATAAGTTTAAAACCATATATACAATACGATACCCGTTTATATTTCCTAAATTTTAAATTAATTTCCAAACGTTTAAATTCTAACAACAGTTTAAAGCTTTTTAAATTTTTAATCAGAGGCAGCACAACATAAAAGATATATACGTACCGGTTATGGCACAACAATTTCAAATCCAGAGAGTTAGTATTACCCTGTAGTAGAAATTCACACGGAGGCAGATGAATAGGAATAGGAATAGGAAAGGGAAAGCAGACAGAGACAGACAAACACACTGATTTAGTCTACCAAGTATTTGGCTATCTGTTAGTTTATTAAAGAAAGCCTTTGAGTAGCTCTCTAATAAATTTTCTTTTTTTTTTATTTTCCTTTCTTTCTTACTTTATTAGCTTTCGAAATTTGCCAGGGAGGCGATATTAAGTGAGGGAGTCGGAGGGGTGACAAAAGTATATAATGATAAGTATGTAGTATAGTATAGTGGTGAAACTTGTCTATACCACTTACTTATTAGGTTGATATTAATGATATTTTTTTTTTTTTCACGATAATTTTTCAGTTTGTTTGTTCTTCAATTTTTTATATGCAGGGAGGTTTTTTTTCCAAATTACCTTTTTCACTATGGATCCCCCTATTGTTTCCCTAGGTTTGATATGATGAACTAAGTAT